TTACCCAAACGGCGTCGTGATCTCTTTGTGTCCTTGGTAATTCAGATACAAAATTCATGGTGATATTTTTCCATTTTCACTTGGGTATCTCCAAAGGTTGCAATAGGTCAGATGGTTTCTGATACTCGATTTTAACCTGCTGGCAAATCAAACAAGTCTGGAACGTGAACATGAAAGTAGGATCTTTAACCATAACTCATAAAACATGAGACAAGGAACATTTAAACGTACCTTGTGCCATTGAGTATGTCTCTAATTGAACTTGTTAAGAACTTAACCCTCAACTACTATAGCTCTTAATCTTTCGTCTCCTACTCTCTCTTATGTTTGATATAATGATGAGCTAATCTCTTTCAAAACTTGTCAAGTGGAGAGAGGGACCAAGAATCTATTTATAGATGTATAAGTGACCCTTCCCATCATTGATCATTAATGAAGCTATAATTGTATATTGAGCTATAATTCCACTTTTTGAAGGAACCTAGCAAATAGTCCAAGATTCTGTCCATTTTCATTATATTTTTCATAATACTCACCACCTCTATCAGAGCTCACTACTTTAATCTTTTTATCCAGTTGATTTTTCATAATTAGTTCAAGTAGGATCTTTAACCATAACTCAAAAATCATGAGACAAGGAACATTTAAATGTACCTTGTGTCATGGAGTATGTCTCTACTTGAACTTGTTAAGAATTTGACCCTCAACTGCTATAGCTCTTGATCTTCACTCTCCTGCTCTCTCTTATGTTTGATATAATGATGGGCTAATCTCTTTTCAAAACTTGTCGAGTGGAGAGAGGGACCAAGAGCTTATTTATGGATGCATAAGTGACCCTTCTCATCATTGATCATTAATAAGGCTCATTCATTCTTCCTTCTGGATAAGATAAATCTTATCATGAATCACTTGTTTCAAGAATGTATATGCATAGCCTTAATAGTATGTACATTCATTTATGTGAGGTTCCATGAATGGTAGGATAAGTTCATTTATCACTTCAGCTAGATTCATGACTTTGGTCATTAAATCTTGTGCTTTATTAATTAGGTACATGACTTTGGTCATAATACCTTGAACCAATCCGTTCACCTATGTGAGATAGCATTACATTTATGTGGTCATGTAGGCCACATTAAGTTATTATTCCAACATTCTCCCATTTGGACAAATGATCACGTAAATATCATAAAAAACAAGTAAAGAGTGGCCACCACAAATAATTACATTTATCCTACGTAGTGATTGGAATGGAACATGGCGGTCAAGTAATATTGTAATACAATCCCTTCCATGTATCACAATTTCAATCACTGTATGTAGATAAATCGAATAAGGAAGATATGATGGATTAAAACTGTCAGATCCATCAATGGTCCAAAAATTCCTGTATAATATCTCTGTATAATGTGCACAAAAACTCGTTTCTTATACATGAAATAAGTATCACAATCATGCGTTTCAAATTACACAAATCCAATTTACAATAATTCAGCAAGACCCATAGAACTAGTGTGCTCTTTAAACTTATTCGGCACCAAAGCTTGCGTTAAAGGGTCTGCAAGCATCACATCCGTTCAGATATGTTCAATGGACACCTTCTGTTGCTGTATTCTTTCACAAACAACATGATACTTCAACTCAATATGCTTGGATTTACTAGAGCACTTGTTGTTTTTAGAAAAGAATACAGCAGCGGAATTATCACAGTAAAGTGTTATAGGTCGAGATATAGAGTTCACGACTTGAATCCCCTCTATAAAATTTTGCAACCAGATAGCTTGAGAAGTAGCCTCATGACATGCAATAAATTCTGCTTCCATTATAGAAGAAGCAGTTATGGATTGCTTTACGCTTTTCCAAGATATGGCTCCTCTAGGTAGCATGAAATGTACCCAGAAGTGGATTTCATACTATCAAGGCAACTCATAAAATCTGAATCCAAGTACCCGATAATCTTAAGATGATCACTCTGCATGTAGGTAAGCATCAAGCCTTTTGTCCCTTGAAGGTATTGAATTACCCTTTTAGCTGCCTTCTAGAGATCCATACCCAGATTACTCTGATATCGTCCAAGCATTCCGACCGCAAAACTAATATCAGGCCGCGTGCAAGTCTGGGCATACATTAAACTACCAACGGCAGAGGCATATGGAACATGACACATTTGTTGTCTCTCAATATCATTCTGAGGACATTGACTTTGACTAAACTTGTCTCCTTTAGCAATTGGGGATGGAGTTGCTGAACAATTTTGCATGTGAAATCTTTCAAGAACTTTATTGCTATATGTCTGTTGAGATAAACCAAGAATTCTCTTAATTCTATCTCTATGGATCTCAATGCCAAGTACAAAAGATGCGTCATTCATATCCTTCATCTCAAAGTTCTTAGAAAGATATTCTTTTGTCTCATGCAACAAACTTAAACTGTTGGTAGCAAGCAAAATGTCATCAACATATAAGATCAAAAATATGAACTTACTCTCACTGACCTTCAAATATATACATTCATCAAACTTATTTTCTTAAAATCCAAAGGTCGTAATGGTATTGGCAAACTTAAGATACCACTGTCGGGAGGCCTGTTTAAATCCATATATAGATCTTCTAAGTTTACAAACCAATTGCTCATTTCCTTTCTCTTGAAAACCTTCTGGTTGTTGCATGTATATTTCTTCATCTAGATTAGGGTTGCAAACGAGCCGAGCCGAGTCGAGTCGAGTTTTGAGCTAATCGAGCCGAGTCTCGACTAAATTTTACCAAGCTCGAGCTCGACGAGCCGGCAATTTTCAAGCTCGAGCTCGACTCGAATCAAATCGAGCCGAGCTCGAGTCGAGCTCGAACTCGAAAAAAATAAAAAATAATTATTTTATTTTTTAAAAAATAAATAAAATAATATTCTTTTCTTAATAAATAATAAAATGTTAAGGATATATACGTAATTTTATTATTAAATAAAAAATATATATATATATATATACTCAAGCTCGCGAGTCGGTTCGCGAGCTAACGAGCTTAATATTCTGAGCTCGAGTTCGAGCTCGAGTTTGACTCGAGCCGGCTTGAGCTCGACTAATATCGAGCTCGACTTGAGCTTGACTCGAGCCGCTCGCGAGCGGCTCGATTCGTTTGCAGCCCTAATCTAGATTCCCATTTAAAAAGGCCGTTTTTACATCCATTTGATTTAGCTCTAGATTAAAATGAGCTACCAAGGCCATAATGATTCGAAATGAGTCCTTCTTTGATACAGGAGAGAAAGTCTCATTATAATCAATGCCTTCTCTTTGAGTGAATCCTTTTGCCACTAGTATGGCCTTATAATGGTCAATATTACCTTTAGAGTCTCGTTTAATTTTGAATACTCATTTACACTGAATGGGTACATGCCCCTTAGGTAATTCAACCAATTCCCAGACCTCATCGGCTTTCATTGATACCATTTCTGTATTCATAGCATCCAACCATTTATTGGACTCACTACTATTTATGGCTTGTAAAAACATGCTCGGATCATCATCAATGCCAGTTTCACCAAGTTCCTACAAGTATACTAGATAATCATCCGAAATTGCACTTTTCTTGTGTCTTTTGGACCGACGTAAAGTGCTTGAATGATCATGAGTATCAATGGGATTCGAAATGCGATGAATTGGCTCATTATGCGAAAAATTAAATTCTCTGTCGCCCTTTTTCTATTTCTGTAATAGGCAAATCATTTGATTCCCGAATTTCAGGGACTAATGCCACCTTTCTTATATCATGACTCCCACTAGAATTTCCATTCTCAAGGAACTTAGCAGTATTCGTTTCCATTATTCTATTATGATGATTAGGATAATAGAATCAGTATTCTTTTGACCTTTCAGGATAACCGATAAAGAAGCAACTAACGGTTCTTAAATCCAATTTCTTTTCATGTGGATTGTAAAGTCTTGCTTCAGCGGGATAGCTCCAAATATGTATATGATTTAAACTTGATTTCCTGCCAACCCATAATTCGAAAGGAGTTTTGGCAATAGCTTTAGTTGGAACCCGGTTTAAAATATACATAGATGTTTTAATTGCTTCACTCCACAAAAATTCAGGAAGTGTGGTGTCGCTAATCATACTTCGAACCATATCCAAAAGGGTTCGATTTCTTCTCTCAGCCACACCATTCTGCTGAGGCGTTCCTAGCATTGTATATTGAGCTATAATTCCACTTCTTGAAGGAACCTAGCAAATGGTCCAAGATTCTGTCCATTTTCATTATATTTTCCATAATACTCACCACCTCTATCAGAACTCACTACTTTAATCTTTTTATCTAGTTGATTTTCCATAATTAGTTCAAGTAGGATCTTTAACGATAACTCAAAAATCATGAGACAAGGAACATTTAAATGTACCTTGTGTCATTGAGTATGTCTCTACTTGAACTTGTTAAGAATTTGACCCTCAACTGCTATAGCTCTTGATCTTCACTCTCCTACTCTCTCTTATGTTTGATATAATGATGGGCTAATCTCTTTTCAAAACTTGTCGAGTGGAGAGAGGGACCAAGAGCCTATTTATGGATGCATAAGTGACCCTTCCTATCATTGATCATTAATAAGGCTCATTCATTCTTCCTTCTGGATAAGATAAATCTTATCATGAATCACTTGTTTCAAGAATGTATATACATAGCCTTAATAGTATGTACATTCATTTATGTGAGGTTCCATGAATGGTAGGATAAGTTCATTTATCACTTCAGCTAGATTCATGATCATTGAATCTTGTGCTTTATTAATTAGGTACATGGCTTTGGTCATAATACCTTGAACCAATCCATTCACCTATATGGGATAGCATTACATTTATGTGGTCATGTAGGCCACATTAAGTTATTATTCCAACAATTTTCATCAAACTCTACCTGTTATACCAAGTGCATCTAGGGACCAGCAGATCGAAGCTAGCTTTGTTAATTCTCCTTTATGGAATACTCTAACAAAGCTTCCTTTATCAGAAAATATGCGAGCCATTTTAGACCTTCCATACTCAGATTTTCTTCTTAGAGTTGGTGAAGGCCATGAACCTGAAGATCTTGATGGAAAAATATCTTTGTGTCAGGATTTATTAATTCAGTTCAATAACAAGAATGAATCACTGAACAAGTTAGGAAAATTTTTTTAGCTTAAGACATACTGATCTTATAAGTGTTTATTTGCATACATATATATATATATATATATATATATATATACAGATGCGCATCTCATCATATTCTTGGCTGCTCAGGTTAATGGATTTTGTATTCTCGGATCTCTGCCTTTATTCATTAGATCCATACAAGATGATCAACAAGTGTGTTCTTACGCCAAAGAACTCTTGTGTTGATGATATTAATGAAATGATAATTGACCAATTCCCTGGACAAGCCTACGTTTATATGAGCACTGATAGAACTCTTAATGAAAGAGATCAAGGGGACTACCAAGACTTCCTGAATTCTTTAAATCTAAAAGGGTTGCCTCCGTATAAATTCTGACAGGTGCCGAACCTGTGCAATAATAATTACTAAAGAGTCCTAATTACCACCACAATTAATTATAGAACAAATCCAAGTACTGGAGCAGGGACCCTAGGTGTGCAATGGGTTACTTGATTCACCCTGTTCCCGAAGAGTTTGCTTAATCCAATATACCAGATTTGTCTATAAGAATATTAATTTTGCGTACAATGGCAAGTAGGGTCGATTCCACAGGGAGCAGGTAGGAAATTATTTCTTCCCAAATTAGTAGAACGAAATTGGGGAATTTTCAATGGGAGGCAAATAAAAATGAAATAAAACAAAATTCAAAACTAACTCACAAAGCACAATTTACTAAAAATAGCAATTAATAAAAGTCTACCCAAAGGATCAACTGCTCAGGCACGGTCCAATTAAATGATCATCAATGTAAAGATATTTCATCCATTCATTACTAGGTTGGTTATAGCTATCAATAAGCTCTGACAACCAGTTCTTCCTTACTTTTTCGACAGACAAGGTACGACCATTGACTGCTTCCCTAACCAGATAACAACCCTAGGTACGACCGTAGGAATTTAATTATCCAATTGCATTAAAGCGAGAAGAACCCAACCCTAACCAATAAACACGCTAAGAGGGTTTATTTAAAATAGATCTTACGTTTTCCCAACATAAAGCCAATTATGGTGGTCGCCACTAGGTATCAACTAAACGAACAATTACGGATTCAATTTAGTTAATGTGACAGTAGGCAATTAAATTAAATCAAATACCCGGCCGTTGATATTCAATTAATAAAATACCTATGAACAATTAATTCAGGAAACGCACAAATAGCAATAAATTGGAAGAAATAATGAAGATTCGATTAGATCTCACAGATATTATGGACCGCGCCCTCGCGTCAACCTTTGGGTAGAGGAGAAAATTAGCCGCTCCTCATCGTGTCAATCCCCCGTGATTTAATTGAATTCATTCAATTAATTTTCGAAGAATTGGAAAGGTGAAACAACGAAGGAACAGTTCCTCGTATTTTGCGTCTACGCAGGAGCCGCCAGCACAAGGGAAATCTCACGAAATTTAGAAGAGTCAAAAGTGAAAAGTGAAAAGGGTCTCGATTGTACAGAGCCCAGATGCAATACGAAAAATCTCCGATGTCTGACCGCTAGCCGAAGAAGAAAGAAAAGCGTCTAACCCAAAAATTGCAAAAAGTAAAACTAAAGCTAAAAGAAGTGATCCCCTCGAATCTTGCTTTTTCCTCCTTTTTATAGCCGCCGTCAGTAGTATTCCTCCCAGGAGGAGGCTTTTGCCTAAGGGGCGCTGATCCCACGCTTCAGGTTCACGTGGACCGGGGTCCGGCTTTTCGGTAACGTCTATCTTGTCTGGCGTGGCCACGCCTTGAGATGAAAGGTTTTCTGGAAATTTACCTCAAGATATCATTTTTAATGCTAACCACCTACAATTCACACATATCAAATATGAGTGAAATTCCATTTCTTAGCACCATGAATAGCCAAAATTAGGACAAGATGACAATGCAAAATGTGCCAAATAACTGCTCTATCAAATTCGTCCTGAAAGAAAATTGTCATATTATTCTTCTAAGGAACCTAAATCCTACTAAGGATTATGTAATGGGACAAGACTCATTTGTAGAAGCTTAAAACAGCATGTGCTTTGTGCTGAGATTGCAGTGGGTGAGCATCGAGGCAAACAAGTTGTTTTGCTTAGAATTCCACTGCAGACATCTGATACTGAGAAAATTGGAATTCCTTTAAAACATATTTTGTTTCCAATAAAGCTCTGCTTTGCCATGACAATCAATAAGTCGCAGGGTCAAACATTGGAACGTGTAGGCATCTATCTGCACGAGCCTGTTTTTTCGCATGGCCAGCTATATATTGCTTTATCTTGCGCTAAAATGGCAACTGCAGTTAAGGTTTTGATAATGCTGCCAACCTTTCATGATACTGTCGTTGAGGTTAAGACCCTGAATGTTGTTTACAGGGAAATTCTAGAATTAGCTAAAAATTGACTACAAGCATTAAGGTATTTGTACTCTTGTAGCTTTAACTGCAAAAATTCTTTGCATTGCCTGCATTCTACTCACTGCATTTAATGTTTACTTTCTATTTTTATTTGTTCAGTTTGAGGCTTTATATAGATTTGCTTCTTCTTTAATGCAGTATGGGTGATGTTTTGTTTATTGATGATATAAAGCTTGGAATGAAGTCATGGACATATATAGTAACAGTCCAAGAAAAAATGAATATTGGATCTTCGTTGTCTACTCCAACCAAGTACCAAAAATTCATACTTGCTGACTCAAAGGTAGACTTATGATAGCAACGACTATTACTATAGAAATTTTCAGTAGTTAATATATATTATATACATTATGATCTGTTTGGTTTTAACTCTTCCTTATTTACTTTTCTCATTTTTTGTTAAATCCTTTAGACTAATCTCTCTTTTGCAGGGATCTAAAGTTCAGGGGATACTTTTTAATTATGCCATAGAAAAAATGGGTCCAAAGCTAAGGCTGTACAAAAAATATCGTATCTCTAATGCAGATGTTAGGCCTATTGCTGAAAAGTTTCGGATTGATGATCTTAAACTTCAGTGGGTTATAGGAACCGACACGGTTGTTGAAGAAGTTGATGAGGGTGATTCTGGTGTGTTGCCATTTTGATTCAATTTTACAGAATATAAAGATCTTGGCCATTATGCAGACTCTGTGAATGAAACTGTTGGTCAGTGCAATGCGCATTCTCCTGTATATTATATTTATATGAACCTCAAGTAGTGCTGGTTAACATTTTTTTTTTCTAATGTAGATGTCATTGGCGTTGTTGTTAGTGCATCATCTATCATTCTAGTCCATAAGGATTATGGTGACTCATCTGTGCAGAGATTTGTGCTTGTCAATGAAGAGTTAAGCATTATCTTCTTCTACAAATCTGTTGGTCATGAATTACATGTCTATTCTTGTTGCAGCATTAACTTTTATTGCAGTAATAATTGTTTTCTTCTTTGCTCTCCTTTTGCATAGAATGAATCCTATCGTACTATCTCTCTGGAATGAATTCATCTAAAACGAAGGAAAGGCAATCCTTCACCAGAAGGATAAGTTTCCTGTTGTCATATGTCGCAGGCTTAAAGTTGTCACGTATGATGGTTAGTGACACTATTGCTAAGTATTTTTATTTTCTCTCATGCTTTATGCCTATGTTTGTCTTGAGCTTAATAATATCAAAAAAATAGGGATCACTTTGTCAACTAAAAAAGACACAGCCATTCTTGTTAATCCACCAGTCAGAGATGCCAACTAGCTCAAACACTGGTAACTTTTCCTCAGCAATTTGTTTTTCCTACCTCTTAGACCTAAACACCATTAAAAAGAACATCGGTATGCTCTTTTCTGCTATTTTTGTAGGGCTGTTAGGAATGAAAAATACTTAGCTGATCTTGTTCAAGATAAAAAGACTTCAAATCGCAGCCCTCAGATGTTTTGTCAGTCGCAGCAAAGAATCACTTCGCTTATTGATGATGTTGTTCCTACTCAAAAGGTTAGCTGTATTTTTTAATAGCTTTCTTTTTCTCTAATTGTTTGGTGTATTATACAGATTATTCATCAGCCATTTTATTTCAAAATTTGAATGTAATTTTTTAAAATACCTCAGCTGTCGTGGGTGAAAGCAAAGTTTTCCTTTCAACACATCTTCCAGAAGTACTATTACATGGCTTGTACCAAATGCCATCGCATGACATCGGCAAATTTTGGCACTACTTACACCTGCAATCACTGTGATGAAAAGCAGAAAGCTTCACCCAGGAAAATAATCTTACCTTTCAGCTATTTAATTTTTGCACAAAATTCTTAATCTCTGTATGAATTACCATACTAAGCAACTTTAATCTTATCTAATGTAGATGCCACTTTGATGTCAATCTCACGAATGACACAGATACACTAACTGCGTCGATACTTAGCGACTTAGCTGAAAATTTGCTCACATTCACTGCGGTTGAAGCTATGGAACATCACAAGAAGGTCATTTATATATGAGAAACTATCACAGCCCTTCCATTAAATTGCATCAAGATAATAGCAACCATAAAATTTATCAGTAGAGTAGTTCATGAACTGATATAAGAAAGCAAGATGGTATGATATTAGATAAAGTAACACGAAGAGAGGGCGAAAAATTACTGCTGCAGATCGCCAAAAACATCTTGCTTTCTTATAAAAGAAAACCTATTTTTTTGTTGTAACGTTACAATTTCCTTTACTTGTTGGTTATTTTATTCTCTCTTATTACATCCTTTATTACATCCAACAACGTCAACTTTTATTTTCTAAAGGATATATCTACTATATCTTTTTTATGGGCATCCATGATAAATTGTTGCCGCGTATCGCGCGGCCCATGCCTCCAAGTGTTGAACTAGGAGGCATAATCACACTTCGCTAGTTAGAAATGTAAAATGCCCTACCCAATTTTGTATAGATCAAAAAAACAAAATATATGAAGTAATAAAAATAGTAATTTATGCAAAAAATAGTATTCCGATTATTAGTAATTATTAGTAAAATTCAAAAAGGATGGATCCTTAAGCTTAGTAATTTGTTTTGCATATGGAAACCGTTTGCAAAAGAAATCGCAATGACTAAAGAAAGAGGACATCAAAGTTACCAAAGAAACACTTCAAACATTCACTATCAAAACTGGATAAGTGCAGTCAGTAGCTTAACATTGATTTTGTGGCTAGATATCTATTATAAAAGCTTGACTCACTAAATAATTGCAACAACTTGCTAACATCAAACTTCCAGTGCTTTGGAAACATTGTTCCAAACCAGAACTCATCCTATATTAAGAACAGAAGATTCTGTATCAATATCAGGCCACTGGAGCAAGAAAATTACTTGGAGCCGCAAGACCATTGGACACCTACAAATAATAACAATTGACCGTAATCAATCAATACCAAATGATTGCACAAGAAATAATCACTTTCAAAATTTTTGCTGCACCCATTTGCCCAAGATCAAGAAGCTGAAAATGAGTTCCAAAAATCTCAGCAACATAACCATGTGAAGACCCATCTGGAAGGTCAACAACAAAGTGAAACCCTAGAGGTATAACAACTATCTCACCAGGAACTACTTGCAATCTATCACATTCAGTTGTGATCCATAACTCTACATAGACAACATGTACAATATAAATGAATGAATAGCATCTACAACCAAAAAGCTTATCAGTTGGAATATGAAAGTGAAAATGATTATAATCCAATTAAAAGGCATATGAGAGGCAGAATTAATTGGGATGATTGAGGTTTCATGATTCAACTATGCAACTTGATAAAATTGTTGAAACCATTACGATCTGTCCATTTGGACTGCCTTCCTAGATGATTACTACACACAAATAACGACAAAACATGAGTGTGTTAGGTAATTGCCCAGGTAATGAAAATACTTTGGCATCTATGCATGTTTATCAGGAGGCAGATATGTAATAGAATTTTCATGCATCAAGAGAGGCCCCATGGTTCTAGTTTGCAAAACACTATATTTATTGTGAGGCCTCATGCTTATTGCAGAAGAACTATCCGTAGATTGCAAGAGAATTTTGGAGGCTTAATTCAACTGACTTTCTTGTAACACTTTAACAACGAATACAACCTTTTTTAGCTATACATTGCTTTTAAGGAAGTTATTCCAACTTTAGCATGCGTGAAAATTTATTTTTATAAAAACCTGCAGTATGAATGAAAAAAATGTTAAGAATCAATCCCTCAAGCAGTAATTATATCTAACCAGAATATTATAAGGCAAAAACAGATATTCCCATGATAAAAGAAGAGCTTCACTGATACAAAATGTAGAAGGACATGATGCACTTAGAATGATCCCCTGCTTACCAGATATATCTAAAACAAAAGTCAGTTTGTATATTCTTTGATAAGCACTATAAGCATCTGAATATGCGGACACCGAATGTAGGGATTTGGATGTTCAGTGTTCTGAGTTGCTTCAAGATATTCACTATGCTTGAGAAGAAGTTCTAGCTCCTGATGCTTGTCCTCTAAATTGGTTTCTCTTTCCTGAAGAAAACGAAAAAAAAGGTCAGACCATTGAATCTTGTTTAAAATCGTCGACGCCCAACAATAAGCCAATGTAACCCCAAAGGAGAAGTTAGGATCACCTTAAACCAAACATGGCTAGTACATAGCTAGATAAAACAATCAGAAGCAAGAGGTTTTATTCTTACTGTGGTTGATAGCTTCATTTTTGGACGTATAAAGCTGAATGCTTAAATTTCTGAGTTCGCTAATCACAAACCTTAATGGCTTCACCCTTTCTTCTGAAATATTGTGATTACATTAATTACTCCCCCTGCGAAGCTGGCATTAAATTCAACATGCAAGGAATACAAACTGTAGTGATGCTATGCTAGTTATCCGCTATATCATTTAGGCCTTGTATAGATATACCTGAATTGCACTTTAAGGAATATCGTTAATGGCTTAGAGATTGATACCTGGTTATGGTTTTGATGTTAAGTCTATTTAGTTAATGATGCTACAAAAAGAAATATTTTTACGTGTAGATTATTGATGGAAACATTTTATAATGAGAATGCATAAACATGTAATCATTTGAGGTTTCCATACCGGTTATTTTGAAAGTTGTTCATCTGATGTGCCATAAGCTGCCTGCTTTCAAATTTGTCCAACCTTCAGTTTTGGTGCATGTCCCACACCATATTTTTGGGGGTCAGAATTGAACTCTTCCATGTTAGGACACTTCTCTAAAACCACTTGTTCCAGGGATGGTAGATCAACAGAAAAAGACATTGCACAGAGTCTATTTATGTTAGACATGTCTTTGATCTTCATGCTGTATAGTTCCGGCAGTGAAATTCTCGTCTTCAGTGTCTTCTTCTCCTTCCTCATCATGGCTTATTAGTTCAACTATATCCTTACAGCTGCTAATGTTTATTTCTTTGAGCTGTTGAAGATATCGAGCCTCAGCAACTGAAAACAGCTTTCTCAGTCTTGAGCATTCACTCACCTCAATAATCCTAAGGTTTGGAAAACAAGCAAGCTGATATTGATCAACTGATACTTCTGGCCTCTTCTCGACAATTCTTTCTAACTTGTTGCACCAGTTTATCTTAAGAACTTCCAGTTGCAGTAGATTTTGAGCAATGGAATATGGAAAGATAACTTTTAGGCTCCCGCAGCTGCTGAGCTCAACCACTGTTAGTTTTACAAGGCGCACTGAAGGAGGAAGTGGTTTTACCCCTCCTTTCCATATGGTTCTCAAACTCTCCAGACCGTGTAACCTTATAATTCTAAGATTAGACAGAAGGAACTGTTGATTCTCAGAACTAATGTTGCCAAGGTCAAATACACTCGACATTTGCTTGCACCATGTTGCTTCAACTTCTTCCAAACTCAGTAGCCTCTGGAGTAATGTGGCAGTGATTGCTACCCACATCCGCTTGCAACTTTGAAGTTTTAAAAACTTTAACTTGTGCAGCGAACCAACTGGAAGTAATTTTGGACATATAACGAACAATTCGTTCATAAGTTGAAGATGTAAACTTTCCAAAGCTGCCAAGATTGCAGGGGCATCACTTGCAGATTGGTTCATGGATAACAAAAACGAGGTTTCCATACAAGCAACGACCTTAAGATATCTTAAGTTGTTTAAGGTCCTCAGATCAACATCTAAAATATTCCTTATCATTTCATCATACAAGCAGAAAAGTCTCAAATCTTCTGTGTTCTGAAGTATGTCCTTCACTCCTTCAGGTATTGAAGTCTTAATTTCTCGGAGTGACAGGCTTCTTGAGTTTGGGTAACATGTCACTGAATCATACCCTTTACCAATAACTATCTCAAATTTTTGTACGTTAGGTATATGCAATTTTCTGGGAACCGATTCAGGATTGGATACTTGAATACATAAAGTAGTCAAGTGGGACAAGGATGTTATTTCTGAAAGACATGCTTTACTTGTGTCTTCAACCATCCCTTGAATCGCCCACTGATGAAAACTCTCCCACATGTAGAGTTCTTCTAATTGACACAAACGCGATAACAGGGTTGCCGGAACAGTCTTGAGCTTTTGGCAGAAGTTGAGGTCTAACAACCTCAGGTTGACTAATTCTCCAATCTCCTTTGGTAATTCTTCAATATCACATCCATAGAAGCTTAGAACCTCAAGTCTTTTTAATTTTCCAAGGACTGCTACATCATCCAACTTGCAGTGATTTAAATGCAAAGTCCGAAGGTTCACCAAGGCTTCAAACGAGGAGGGAAGTTTGAAGGAACTGGACAGCATTGAGGTCCATTTGTCTGGTTCAAAATAGTGATTTAGAGAGCGAGCACCAATTTTTTCACTTAAATCCAGCACCCTGAGCGTTGGCATCCCTAGAAAGAATCCCTCTGGTATTATCTCAAAAACCTCATTTTCCCCCAACAACAAAATTTCGAGCTTGGGACAAATTAGGCGCTCAGGAAGTGACTGAATATGATTAGTCATCAGAGAAATGATTACTGCATTGCGTTCAAGAGTCTCCTGATTTGGCCACTCCTTCAAGCCAAGACCTGCTTTTATGACGAAACCATGTTCCCTTGTAGATGCAATTGATATGGCAAAGTCACGAACCATATCATGCATTCTTACAGAATCTTCCGTACTGCTGTCCAGAAGCAAGCAACAGTCAGTAAGGTTTCTGATTATCCATCGTGTTTCTCTTCTTGCTTCCTCCATTGTGTCTACATCTGTAAACATTCCTTTTCCCAGTCCATAGCTGGCTATGTCTTCAATTTTTATATCATGATCCTCAGGAAACAAGCAACACAATAGAAAACATTCTTTAGCGTCCTCACTTTGCAGCTGATCGTAGCTCAACTTTAGGCATGAGAAAATGTTTTTTTCTTCATTGCAGTTGATGTTCAATGGTTTGGACTTCTTTAGTTGCTGAAGTGCAGCTTTCCAAAGCTCCAGATCTTTGTTTCTCAGTGCTCTCCCAACCGTTACAAGTGCCAATGGGAGCCCACAACATTCTCTAGCAACCTTCATGGCGACATCATCTTGTTGGGGAGAAAATGTATCAGCCAATGACCCTGCGTTAGTTTTAAACAGGTTCCAGGATTCATCATCTGACAAGAGTCTCAATGGAATTTCCATTGTTTTTCTAAGCCCCATAGTGCTGTGTCAAGATATATATCTGTCAAGATATGTATCCACTTTGTATATATCTCTTGTATATATAGTAGTTAGCATATTCTTCTCCTAATTAATAGGAGACCTAGCGTAATTGTTGGTAGGGCTCTGTACTCACATGTATATATAGATAATTGCTATGCTAATGATGGGGAATTTTTGGCCGCACAAATCTTGTCATGGTATCAGAGCCTTGTGCTCTGATTCTTCAATAGACTTTATTCATTGATCTCTTTTCTCCTCGTGCATGGCCACTTCCGATAATAAGAAGGATGGTGACTCATCCAGAAAGAGAGTAACCTCCCCATATGATCTAAATCCTAATGACAATCCTGGAAATCTGGTTACCCATGTTCAACTGAAGGGTGATAATTATGATGAATGGGCCAAAGCTATTTGTATGTCTATGCGTTCGAAGAAGAAATTGGGGTTCCTGGATGGCACAATCCAACGTCCCGATGATGACTCTGATGATCTTGAAGATTGGTATACAGTGAACTCAATGTTGGTCTCGTGGATTTTCAATACTATTGAGTCCACACTCAGATCCACCATCTCTTACAAGGATAGTGCCTTCGATCTCTGGCAAGATATCAGGGAAAGATTTCGTGTGACAAATGGGCCTCGCATTCAACAACTTAAGGTTGCCGTTGTCGAATGTAAGCAAGGAAACTCAACCATTAGTGATTATTATGGCCGGATGAAAAAGCTTTGGGAAGAATTGGCAGACCACGATGCGATTCCGATGTGTCATTGTGGACGGTGTACATGCAACTTAACAAAAGCATTTGATAAGAGAGCTGAAGATGAGAAGGTACATCAATTTCTTATGGGACTTAATTCTGATATATATGGCACGATACGTTCCACCATATTGGGTAGTGATCCATTGCCCAATATGAACAAAGTCTATGCTTCTATGATTCGAGAAGAGCAGGTTCACACTGCTAGCTCGTCTAAAGAGATGAAAGGTGAAGTGATGAGTTTTGTTGCACAAATCAATCCGGGGCGTGGGCGTGCGATGGTGAAAGATCCAACTAGATTCTGCACTCATTGCAAACGCACTGGTCATGAAGCAGACAATTGTTTCCAATTGATTGGTTATCCTGACTGGTGGGGAGATCGTACTCGTGGTGTCGGGAGAGGCACTAGCCGAGGCAAAGGAACTGGACAAGGCCGTGGGGGAGGACGTGGAGGCCAGGCGCATGCAGCTATGGCTTCTGGGTCATCTACTAATGGAGCTCTTGAAGGAGGTTTGAATCAAAATGGTCTCACAGGAATAACTGAGGACCAATGGCAAATGTTGCAGACCTTCCTTAATGCACAAACAAAACCTACACTAAAGATGACTGGTAAGAAAACAAATGTGACATGGATTATCGACACCGGAGCCTCTAATCACATGACAGGCAATCTAGAACTCTTAATTGATCTCCAGGATTTGATGGGGTGTCCGGTGGGACTTCCTAATGGTGAATCTGTTATGGCAACTAAGGCAGGGGTGGCTGTGTTAAACAAACACTTAACCTTGCATGATGTGCTTTATGTACCAAATCTGACTTGCAATTTGATCTCTGTGTCTCAATTAATTCGTCAGAATAATTGCTTCCTGTTATTCACTGACATTTTATGTGCAATACAGGGCCGCACTTCGAGGATGCTGATTGGAATGGGTGAACAGCGGGAAGGGCTCTATTATCTTTGTGGCTCCTCTACCGTAAATGCAATTAAGACTGGTGACTCAAGCACGTTTGATCTCTGGCATAACCGGTTGGGTCACCCCTCCACTAAAATAATTGAGATGCTTCCTCATGTTGGCTGTCGAGGGTCTAGTAGCTTGACCAATAAAGTCTGTGAAGTTTGTCTTCGTGCAAAACAGACTCGAGCACGTTTTCCGCTTAGTGATCATCATTCTTTGAATATTTTTGAACTCATACATTGTGATTTATGGGGACCCTATCGTACCCCATCCTCTACTGGTGCTATTTATTTTTTAACACTTGTTGATGATTGTTCTCGTGCTGTTTGGATTTTTCTTCTCAATGATAAGACTGCTGTTCCTCAAACCATGCGCAATTTCTTTTCCTACGTGCATAGACAATTCAACAAACAAGTTAAAGTGGTTCGTAGTGATAACGGTACTGAGTTCAATTCTTTGAAGCCTTATTTTGCTGAGCATGGTGTGATATTTGAAACTTCTTGCAAGGGCACGCCTCAACAAAATGGACGTGTTGAACGCAAACACCAACACATTCTAAATGTTGGTCGGGCGTTAATGTTTCAGGGACATTTGCCTATTCAATTTTGGGGCGAATGTATTTTGACTGCCGGATACTTAATTAATCGCACACCTTCTGCTCTTTTACATGGGAAAACTCCTTATGAGATTTTATATGGAAAACCTCCTTCTTATGATCATCTCCGAACTTTTGGCTGTTTGTGTTTTGTTCATAATCAAGATCGCAAAGGGGACAAATTTGCGAGTCGGAGTAGGCGCTGTGTTTTTGTCGGTTATCCGTATGGAAAAAAAGGGTGGCATGTTTATGATTTAGATACTCATGAATATCTTGTATCGCGTGATGTGATTTTTTCTGAATCCATTTTTCCTTATTCTGCTTCTGTATCCTCTCCTATCACTGCTCCTTCTTCTGCATTGCCTACTGGTGTTGATGAGGTTGTCTCTGAGCCGGAACTTGAACCTATTGGCGAGCCTGAGCCTGAGCTTGAGCCTGAGCCTATTCATGTGGTTCTACAGGATGAACCAGCGCTCGATCATCTTGGCGAATCTTCTCGTCCTACTGATGAGCAACCTGAGGAGCTTCTGGGCCGCGGTCATCGATCTAAGCAACAGTCAGTACTTCTTCGAGATTTTGTGACAAACACAATCACAACGTCGAGCCCTTCCCCCGCTTGTTCATCGCCCCAATCGCCGTCCTCAGGTACGACCTATCCTATAGCACATTTTATGAACTATGATCGATTTTCTTTGCGCCACAGGGACTTTCTTGCTACTCTTACTGCTGGACTTGAACCTTCTACATATACTGAGGCTGTTGTACATGACTGTTGGCGTGCGGCTATGCAACATGAGCTACAGGCCTTGGAGACTAATGGCACTTGGGAGTTGACGCATTTACCTCCTGGCAAGAAGTCCATTGGTTGTAAATGGGTTTATCGCATCAAGTACCATTCTAATGGTACTATCGAACGGTACAAGGCCAGATTGGTCGTTCTTGGCAATCGCCAAGTTGAGGGCATTGATTATAATGAAACGTTTGCTCCTGTTGTGAAACTGGTCACCGTTCGCACTTTTCTCGCAGTAGCGGCTGCACGCAATTGGGAACTTCATCAAATGGATGTTCACAATGCTTTTCTTCATGGTGATTTGAAGGAAGAGGTGTATATGCGACCTCCACCAGGGTTTTCTCCTCCCCAGCCTAACCTTGTTTGTCGTCTGAAGAAATCTTTATACGGGTTGAAACAGGCTCCCCGGTGTTGGTTTGCCAAACTTAGTACTGCTTTAAAGCAATATGGCTTTATTCAATCTTATGCAGACTACTCATTGTTTACCCTGCGTCGTCATGCCGCTGAGATTCATGTTTTGGTTTACGTTGATGATCTTATTATTTCAGGAAATGATAGCTCGACTATTCATCAATTCAAGAATTACTTGAGCACTTGTTTTCATATGAAAGATTTAGGTGCCCTCAAGTACTTTCTTGGTATTGAGGTCGCTCGCAGTCCTGCAGGAATTTTCTTGTGTCAACGCAAATATGCGTTAGACATTATTTCTCAGGCTGGTCTTTTAGGTAGCAAACCGGCTGCCTTTCCTCTTGAGCAGCATCATCGTTTAGCTTTGGCTGACGGTGCTCCTTTTGACACTCCCGAGCGTTACCGGCGTTTGGTTGGACGTCTTATTTATTTATCGGTGACTCGTCCTGAGCTATCTTATTGTGTTCATATTTTAGCTCAGTTTATGCAAGCACCTCGTGTGGCACATTGGGAAGCTGCTTTGCGTGTTGTTCGGTATTTAAAAAGTCATCCCGGCCAAGGTATTTTGCTACGGGCTGACTGTGACTTGCAGCTCTCTGCTTGGTGTGATTCTGACTGGGCTGGTTGTCCTTTGACTCGCCGGTCATTAACTGGGTGGCTGGTGTTTCTTGGAAATTCACCAGTATCCTGGAAAACAAAGAAACAACCTATTGTATCTCGTTCTTCCGCTGAGGCAGAATATCGCTCCATGGCTACAACTACTTCCGAGTTAAAATGGTTAAAAGCTTTATTATGTGATCTTGGGATTCTTCATTCTCAACCGATGCTCTTATATTGTGATAGTCAGGCTGCTCTACATATTGCTGCTAATCCTGTCTTTCATGAGCGCACCAAGCATATCGAGGTTGACTGTCATTTTGTTCGTGATGCCATACAGGATGGCACCATTCGCCCAGCTTATGTGTCTACTCATGCGCAATTAGCTGATATTTTCACTAAGGCTGTTGGGACGTCGCAATTTGGATCTTTCCTTCGCAAGTTGGGCATTTGTGATCTCCATGCTCCAACTTGAGGGGGGGTGTCAAGATATATATCTGTCAAGATATGTATCCACTTTGTATATATCTCTTGTATATATAGTAGTTAGCATATTCTTCTCCTAATTAATAGGAGACCTAGCGTAATTGTTGGTAGGGCTCTGTACTCACATGTATATATAGATAATTGCTATGCTAATGATGGGGAATTTTTGGCCGCACAAATCTTGTCATGCTGCATAGATTTCTTTGACGAGTAGTAATCAGAATCTTACAACCCTTGCCCTCAAAATTGACAGGAATTCCAATTTCTTTGAAATTAACAAAATTCCAAACATCATCCAATATAAGCAGGATTCTTTCCTGGGTAGTTAGCCTTTCAAAAAGCCGACCAGCTCTTCCCATTTCACTCTCCTCCTGGAAATATAGACCTAACATATCCCCAATTCGACCTTGAATTTTTCTCACATCTATATTTCGCGAAACAACAGCAAAAATCACCTTATTGAAAAGGCCACTAGTTTCAGCCATCCTACCAATTTCCTTTGCCAGAGTCGTCTTACCCATGCCCCCCATCCCGTACATTCCTATGATTGCACAGTTGTCATCCTGCAATGCATCAAAGATCTGATCCACAGCTTCTCTTTGGTGGGAAATAATCTGATTTACCAATCCTCTCCGCTGACCAATGATCTCACTAACTGTTTTCTTTTGCAGGACAACGTTCTCATTTACAGTTGGTTTACTTGCTCCGAAAGTGACAGCTTCAGCTTTTCTTTTCACACTGGTTACTGATGCACTTGCTCCTGAAGTGGCATCTTTAGCCCTGCTTTTCTCATTCATAACTGATGTGCTGGCTATTGAAGTGACACCTTCAGCCCTGCTTTTCTGCTTCAGAGTTGATGTGCTTGCTCCCGAAGTAACATCTCCAGCCCCGCTAACCTCAATCAGAATTGATGTGCTTGCTCCAAAATTGACATCTTCAGACCTGCTTTTCTGATTAAGAGTTGATGTGCTTGCTCCTGAAATAACATCTTCAGCTCTGCTTTTCTCATTCGTGGTTGATGTGCTTGCTCCTAAAGTGACAAGCTCAGCCCAGTTTTCAGCTGGTGTTAAGTGCTCTGGAAGGATTTCAATATTCAGGGGGGGCAATGTGATGTATATATCTTCTCTGGGCTGCAATTCTTGAAGTTCCATTACAATCGCTGTTTTTTCGATTGCCTCCTTGCTCAACTGATAACGCGCAATCCAGTCAGGAAAGCAACCTCTCAGACATCTCTTGTCCAAATTAACTTTGTGAATTAACGAATCTGTTTCAGCTATGGTGCTCTCAACAGCTTCCGACCATTTGCTGACAGTAACCTTGATAACTTTGCCATTTCTTTTGGCTTCATTGATAGACTGCTCTACATCCATTCTCACGTCATTCAACTCCTCAACTTGCTCTTGCAGGTTCTTTACAATCTTACGATAATCATAGAGATAGCTCAGTCGATTTCCGACTGGAGTTGTCAGATAATATCCAATCCTTGCGAATATGGTAATAATAGCATCCATTTCGGGTCTCTATGTTTAGAATCTGAGTAGCCAGAAAAGGAAAAATGGGCTCAAAACACTAACAAGCTCAGTTGTTGTACTAGAAGTCTAGAAAGATAGATTGCAAACAGGTGCACAATTGTTCTCAGATCATCCATTTCAGGTCTCTATGTAGTATCCATTTTTCTCATATTTGTTTTTTGATACCAGAGTATGATTGATGACATAATTTACATTTTAATGAAATTATAATGTTTTATAAAAAAAAACGAAATCATGTGTGCCAATTAAATAAAAGATGATGAAGAATAATGCATGATTATGCAAGAAAACTCACATGGCTTGCAAGTAGGATTATAGACCAAATTTACCTAAGTATTTCCCATTTTATATTATATAATACATACCACTGGTCGAAGATAATAGATCTTTTTTTTTTCTTTTGGGTTCAAGAATAAAAAAGAAGTATCCTTAAACAATGTCAAGAACGTAATATTATGGAAAAGAGAATTATTTTTATTTTTATTTTTTTGTTATGAAGAAAATATAAAGCATTTCACAACAAAATTTTTTTAAAAAAGTCAAAAGTTAGATTTTTTATTTATTATTTTCATCAAAAGAATTAAATTTTTAGGTACTAATAATTAGCTTCTAGGAACCAAAAAGTTTGACAGAGACCAAGAAAATGAAAAAAAAGTAGTGTAACAAAGGACCAAACAACCCAAAAAAAAGGTGTTTTTCCGCCCGGGGGGTGGGGGGTGTTCACTCAGCCTTTAAGACACAAGAGGCAAAATGAGTATCCCAAAACTATGCCAAGGAGAGGGCTCATATGGTCTTTTTCACTTTCAGTTCAAGATTCGAAACCTAACAGTTAGCTGTGAGAAGGGTGTGAAGAGGGTTGAAGGGTTGAAAAAAACAAAGAAAAATAGACTATTCCAAAACTACGTGAAGTCTTGACATTAAACCACAATGGGGTAAACGAATTAATAACAAAAACATTCGTACCTTTTGTAAGGAAAAATGCTTTACTGAATGATGACCGGAGCCTTTCTGGAATGTCTTTATGCAGTTACAGAAACAATTGTATGATCTTTCTTGCTATTAGCTCCAAACTGCCTTGTCAAAGCATGCATCATTTAGGTAATCTGTCATGAAAGGATATCATAAAATCACATATTTGATTTTGATCTGCTTTATCTTTATTACCTTTCATAGATCGATGAAGTCTGAAGATAATATGAGAGGCAAAACGAAAGTCAACTCCTTGAACAAGTAGAACATTTGCACCAATGCTTGAGATTTGTAAATGGTACAGATATATGCGAAAGAGAAGTATGAAAATGATCAAAGCCTCAGAAGTCAACAATAGTAGCATGTTCTAGTTGTCTTCATTTTTTGGCATCACATGATTAAGTCAAACAAGGTGTTTTGTATGAAAGCTTGAAAAACAAAAAACGAAGGAAAGGATTCAACCTTGTTTGGATTGAAGTGTGTCCTAGAATATTTTTGCTTTGTTCGTGATCACATTTTTCAGTCGTCTTTTTACCTTCCTTATAACAAATCGTTACAGTAATTTTTTTTATAAAAGCTCCATAAAACAACAATTCAAAAACTAGTAGATTATTTGGGATAATTTTTTTAAAAAAAATACTGTAACATCTTTTTGATATAATTTATGTGAGATAAAAATATAATTCAAAAATGTGTTTAAAATGTAAGCAAATAAATTTGTACAAATTTGCTCTGGTATCTGGCGTCAAAATTAATTGTGTGTACCTAAAACATAAAAAAAAAGGAAAAATGGTAAATTTACGCTCAAATTAGCTTCATTTACTTCCTTCTCATACTTCCACAATTGAAGTGACTTAAATTTCAAATAATTTTGTTTAAAATTTCGTATGAGCAGATTATATTTACTTGTGCACACTTGTGGGTTCTTTACTCATTTTGATCGTAAAAACAAATATAAATAAGGAGTGAAGGAGGCTACAAATACAAGTAATGGAGTTCTCAAACAAGTACTGTCCTCCGCTCCTTCGTGGAATAGGGTGGTCTCACGCGCGAGAACCGTCATTCTCTTTATTTATTAAAAAGTCCACTCTTTTTCGGATCATCCAAATTTGTCCACATTAATGAATTTTATGTTGATATAAATCTTGTTATATATGGAATCTTCTTTTTTTTTTTTTTTTTTTGTGACATGAACAAGATCAACAATGTGTTCGAAATTCTTATTATTCCATTTTTATTTTGGATGATTTGTACTTCATCCTCCTACCGTTTTCTTTGAAGCACTTGCACCTTCTGTTAGGCAAAGTCATGTTTGATTATTAGACAATGTCTGAACTTCCAAAGTTGCCCTCGTCTTCAACCATAACAAAACATTAATTTGCATTTCCTCCACAAACTATGACCTTATTTGCATTTTATCCCCTAAGAAATTTTATAGGCGTTTTATCCCTAGTACTTTAATTTTTTTCATTTTCTTTATTCCTTGCATTTTATTTGTTTATTTCTTTTCTTTGTTTATTATTCTTTTAATTTTATTTTTTTCTTTCATTCCCACTTGTCACTTTTATACTATTACGTCACTTTTCATAATTGCTTCGCCATACAAGTAAGAAAACAACTATTTTTTAACTTTTTAAAATAGAAATAAAGTGAAATTTAAGAAACAGGAAGAGGGCAGGGAAACTTGAATCTTAACTCCTTAAGGCCTCGACCTTAGACATTAGCCACCAGATCAAAGTTTTCTCGACAACAAAATAACTATTAAACTACAACAACATTAATATCAGAGTTTGAAATTAGTTATTAATACTGAAAATAAAAAAAAAAACTCTTACAAAATAAAAGAATGAGGAAGAGAAAAGTAAGAAAACGAATCATTGTAGTCTACTAATATATATATATATATATATGCATATTGGTGGTATTATAAAGCACATTTAATTCAAATATAGCCTGCTGGAACGTAAGGAGTCTTAATGACCCTATTAAATAGGTTAAAGTATCCAAATTAGTGCATGATTTCTTGTGTTGGGGATTTGTTGAAACAAAAGTAAGACTCTGTAATTTTCTATGCGTTAGTAAGATTCTCTTTTGGGCAATATACACGTGTATCTATTGGTAGTTTCCTATTTCATAGAAAGCACTTTTCTAAAGTAAAAAGGAAAATAAAAAAAAGGATAAATTACACTTTACTTCCGGTGATTTAGTGTTTTTGTACATAACCCCTATATGATTTCAAAAATTATATATAATCCCCTCATGATTTGAATTAAAGTGCCAAAGTAACGGAATTTGTAATCCATAACGGATTCACTTAAAATGTAAAGTTAAAAATTTTTTATTAACCACAGGAGGGTTATGTGTATATTTTGAAAATCATAAGGTGGTTATATGATAAAACATAAAATTATACGGGGTTAGTGCATCGTGTATATTATGTTTATATATTTTAGCCACTTTAATCATTTTAATTTTTAAACAAGGATAATTTCAATATTTTTAAAGGTTCCGTTATGAATAATCATTTCTGTCACTTTGACACTTTAATCCAAATCATGAGGGAGGTATGTATAGGTTTTGAAACCATATAAGAGTTATGTACAAAAACAATAAATTATAGGGGGTAAATGTAATTTGCCCTACACACACACACACACACAACATATCCAGCGACACAAGAAAGAAAGGATAAAGAAAACCTTCATACCTTTTGTGAGGAATAATAGTTTCCTTTTGCAAGATGAGAATCTATCTGCCCTTTGAATGATGAACCGTGCCTTTCTGGGATATCTTTTCGCAGTTACTTAGCTCTTTAGAACTGGTGCAGAAACTTTTACGCTTAGCTAGAGAGCTCCAACTGCCATGTCAATCAATCAATGCATGCATCATATTAGTTAGTCCATCATGGAAACAACTTGAAAAATACCTATTGGATCCGCTCTACATACCTTTCATTTCCTATATTTTACTCGCAAGATGGATTCGTAGTAGTGAAGATGAAGGAGTGGAAGTCAATTCACAGAACAAGAATGATTCCACCAGCGCTTGGGATTTGTGAACTCTGCAGATGCAAAAAAGATGTTTGAAGTATTCAAGACTTGCAATTCAATAGTACTCAGAACATATTCTAACCAAGAAAAAGGTGTCTTCATTCTTTGGCACCAATATGAAATTATGAATAAGTCAAATACGCGTGTTTTCACTTCTGTTTTGTTTTTTTTTTCTTTTTCTAGTTTTTTTCCTCCCCCTCCACTCGACACCCTTTTCAGTCTTCACCCTTCAATTTGTCACGCAGAGGATTCGAACCCACTTTTCCTGATCCTAACAACAGGCAAGATTCTAAGAGTCTGATTGTCAAAATACTAAAACTCTCTCCTGATCACTGGATCGATCCCAGTGACTCACTTTTTCTTTTTTCTTTTTTTAATTCAATTGAAGTTTAGGGGGAAAAAATGAATAAAAGATTCAAAAAACTATGTGCACTGATATCACTAGTCAAAATCCATTGCGTGTACCTAAAATAGTTGACTTGCAAATATTTTAATGGGATAATTTCAGAAACCTCCCCTGAAGTTTCTGACAGTTTCACTCCCCTCCCCTGTGGTTTTTGAAATTCCACAAACCTCCCCTAAAACTAAATAGGGGATGCCAAAATAGACCCAATTTCAAAATACAAACAATAAAAAGTTAGTAGTTAGAGAGAGAAACAAGTGTATTCCACAAATGCCCTCATTATCTTGGGTTAGAGAGCTAATGCAATGTGAAGAAAAATGAGGGAATTTAAGAAGAATGAAACTTGAGGGGGTGTAAGTGAGACCAATCAACAGAGAAGCTTACAACGAGGAGTAGTGAACAAATGCAATGCAACGGCTCTTTCTGGCAGCCAGTTCTAACGTCTACATGCAACGGCCAACTCCGAAGGCTATTTATCAGAGTAAAATGCAGCAGCCACAGATGCAACAAACAACAACAGACAAATGTTAATTTGTGAGATGCAACTAAAATGCTTGGTGTTGGATGCAACTGAAGTGCTTGGTGTTCCATCTTGAATTGCAGCAGCAACAAACACACACGTAAATGGCCAGTTCAAGCAGAATTCACCCACATCATTTACAATTAGAAATAGATATTGTCGATGTAATCGCAAGGCAACCATTAAAATTTCTGAGAGTGAACGGAATCCACACAAGCTGTACTTTTGCTGCACAAATTGCAAATTCTTTGAATGGTATGAAGGTACAGAAGAGGAAGAGGTGAGCAGCCAAAGCGAACGCAGACATTCATCAATGCAAAGGGAAGAACAAGTCCAGATTGGTAGAGTTGAAGAACAATACTCCATAGTGACAAAGCTAATGATACTTAACCTTGTATTCTTAGCAATTTATATGTTTATTCAAATTGTGAAGTCAATTTAATGAAATCAGTTTATTCAAATTGTCACTTTCAGTTTATTCATATGTGCATGCAAGACGTTGTCTATTATGATCTTACTAAGACAACACCATACAATCTGTACATACAAAAAGAATTCGAACCTGTAGAATCCCTGCATATTGCACTTTACTTCAAAGATACAAAATGTATGTCTTTAATGAATTTACACTGCTGCTTGGAATTCAAATGTCAGGCAAAAGACCATGTATAGGTACTAAGTCCATAGATGGTATACAAAACCAAAAGTTGCACCAAGCATTTCAGCAAAACTAATAATGACAAAAGTATCTCCAATCGTAAACAAATTCAAAAGAACATCAGTATTTTTTTAGCAACAATATATGACAAGGGAGGCCTAACTATTTAAAACCTCAAGCTATAGCTGCTGCTGAGATTGTGCGACTCATGATTAGCTGATGTATTGGTGCTCACTGAAGTTTGTAAGTGGGAATTTTTGGTGGAATTGGCGCCAGCAATTGGCATTAATGGCATTGGTTGTGAAGCCGCAAATGAAGTTCTCCTCCTGATGTTAGTTACAGCAGATGTTCCATCTTTCTTTGAGGGCCTTCCTCTCTGAAATGATGTAGGACAAGTGCATAGGGTGAGCAACTCAGAAATGAAAAAAAATGACCAAAAAGCAACTGGATGTACCTTTCTCATAGCAGCATCCATAGTTGTCTGTACATCAGCTTGAATATTAGCTGCACCAGGTTCAGTTGATGGGCTTGGATTGCTACCTTGACTGGAAATCACAACAGGCACACTACCCTCTATGTGATCCTGCATTAGGAAAATCTCAGGGGAAGTAGTTAACAGTTGTTAATTTGATAGTAAACAGTTTCAGCACTCACTAAACATATAATAAAGTAACGTTTACCTAGAGAACAGCTCCTGACAAGCCTGTGTTTGCAATTCCCCTGCCAGGCTTTGCTCTTCTCTTAGGAATCTGTACATTAAGTTGTATGTCATGATCTTAAGTATGGTGAACAAAGTAACATGATCAATATTAGAAATCAGTTATGAACCTGCTGATTTGTTTGCGAGGTACAGTTATTTCCTCTCACAAGTGCTGTTTGGCATGTTCTCTTATTATGGCCAAATGCATTGCAGTTCCTACATCTCAGAGTAGTAGACCTCTTTGTCTAAGATGGAGCTGGTTCATCAGGTCCTCGCCTTCTATTCACCCTTGGTCTACCTGGAGCTCTCCTCAGGGATGGTGGTAGGACAATTGCTGGAGTGACATCAGGTAATGGAGGCCATCGTTTCTCATGAGGAATTGGGTGAATTATGCCACTATATGCCTTAATCCACATTTCTGTTGAGAAGCAACCATCACAGTAAGCCTCTACTTTTTGTCTTCTATATATAATGCTTAGTGCAGCATGCTTGCAAGGTAGTCTGACAGTTGAAAAGCACCACAATCACACGCCTTTTGGGTCAAATTGACAATGTATTCTCTGTCCACATCACCAACTTCAAATATCTCCTCACTTGCCATTTGCAGTGAGCATCTCCTAGACAGTCCAACAATTTCCTTCAGTTTTTTAGTGATTTTTGGAGTGATGTTAGAGGTCCATGTGCAGGCCTTGTGATATCTTTTATGCAGCTTTTTCATGAGCTTTTTCCTTAAACCATTAGCAAGAGTCAGTATTGGTTTATCTCTTAAATCTCCCACCCATGCATTGAAAGATTCAGTAAAATTGTTTGTGACATGGTCACACTTTATCTCAGTTGAGTATGCGTGCCTAGCCCAAGATGCAGGTGGAATCTTTGATAAGTATCTCCATGCTTCTACATTCATGTCTTTAATGGAGGCCATTGCTTCATTGAAGCCTAATGCATCATAGCTCTTAGCAGCTTTCCAGAACAAACTGTTCAGTAATACTCCAGGAAATTGAAGCCTAAAGTTGCTGCAAATGTGTTTGCAGCAATACCGTCCAGTAGCTAATGGAATTTGCTCCTCATAAGCAAGATTCAATCCCTACAGCAATTGAGTTAAAACCATTCAAATAATAGGCATAGCTGGACATATAGAATGAGACATTTGTCATGATAGTAAAGTAAACAAGGTCTATATCTTTTGTCTATCACTCATGAATGTTAAAGGAACACTGTTATGAAATGGTCCAAAGAATTCCTGGAAAAAGTAGAAGAACCAGCTCCAGGTTTCTTTGTTTTCAGATTCAGCCACAGCAAATGCAATAGGAAAAATTGAGTTATTTGCATCCAATGCCACAGCAGTGAGTAATAATCCACCAAAATTGCCTTTCAAGTAACAACCATCAAAACCAATAAAAGGTCTACAATCAGTTAAGAAACCATTTTTCTGACCTTTGAAACTTATAAACAATCTCAAGAATCTTGGTTCGACAAGTAAATTGGGTCTGTCATAATGAACTTTGCATAAGCTACCAGGATTGCTCTGCCTTAGAAGAACAGCATATTTTGGTATCTTACTATATGAAGCTGCATGTGTACCCTCAATTTCTTCCCTGGCCTTTTCTCTTGCTCTGTATACTTGTTGTTTGCTAGGATGAACACCATATTTTAGCATCTCAGCTTCAATCCCTTTTCTGGAAATGTCTGGATGATCTCTCATCACAGCAACAAGTTTCTTTGCCATCCAATCAGAGGTGGCCTCTCGATTCTTGCTGTCCATCACACAAGTGTGTTCTGGTGTGTATGACTTTATCATATACGTCACTGAATCTGCTAAAGGTGAGGCATGAATTCTCCACTTGCATCCATCAACACCGCACTTGGCTGTACATCTGCTTTTTTCATTCTTCAATCTTTGGAGGGGAAGACCTTTTTGGATCACAAAATCCTTGAATGCTGCTCTAAAAGCATCAACATTTGTGAAAAGCTATCCTTTCTTAAACTCTATGTCTTCTTTTCAGTTGTAAGTCCACATCTTGGCTCTTAAGGCTTCTCTCATGGGATCTATTTCATGTTCAGATTCAGAATCAGGTACAATATCCTCATTTTCCTTGTCATCAAAGTCAAAAAAATCATCATCACTACTGTCACTTTGGGATACAGACCAATGCTCATCACCTAAATTATCCTCATTGTTATTGTCCCAACCTTGATTCCATGAGTCATCAGAAGTAGAATCACAAATGTACTCCTCAGTCTCACTTTTTAATTCATGAACTTCGATATTCTTGCCTCTACCAGTTTTTTCAGTTCTTAAATTCTCGTGCTCATTTACTACATTTCTGTTCAGGAAGCTGTCACTCTGTTATGCAGGGATGATATCCATCTCCAACACTTGTATATTAATGACTACATGAGATTGATGCACCTTGAACATTTCAGCAACAGATTGGTCATCATTCACATCTAAGTACTCAGCTGTACCAGGTATTTCGCATCTCATGTGCACCAGTAGATTGACATTTCCAGACATTTCTTGCAATGCCTTCTCAGCAACATCATTTAGTAAGTCAGAATACATGTAACTCTTGGGATTGACCTTAGCCACTCTTACTTTTCTTCCCATACAATGGAGCACAATATCATGAACATCAGTGTTAACCATCCTACAATAGACAATCATAGCCTACTGAAGTTACTGAAGTTATTGAAGTTACAGAAAATATTAGTTACAAAATTAACCATCTTGCAACATTGGTTGCTAAAGTTACAGAGAACGCATAAGCTACTAAGGTTTGGCATCTAACTATATCAAACAACCCAAGTCAGACGAGAAATATAGAATCAAGCAAGCATCAACTGGTAGAGGCTTAGCAAACCAAGTCACGTGACAAACCAGAAAATCATAAAGCAAACATGTATCAAGCTTATACAAACAATAACCAAATCAGAAGTAAGCTGCCAAGGAATATTGAAACAGTCTCTGAAATCTTAAACGCTTACCTGGTAACGCAGTTTGTTTGCCAGAAAGAGACTCTTCTTCAGCAAATGTTAGAATCAACAAGTTTGTTTGCCAACCGTCAACCTCAGTTGCTATAACGCAAACAATGGCGGGAACAGACCAAGTTTCTTGCTTCTATATGCACCGTGCCTTTCAAGCTGTTATGTCAATCAGATCAAGAGCATGGCGCCTAAGTTTGGCGCCATTTCACAACGGTCCCTTTTCTATTTTCATTTTTAGGACTCTAATTTATGGTTAATTACATTAATTGTGTTTATAACTAACTTAACTAATAGCTTTCAGATAATCACAAAATATTAACAAAATTGTAAGGGTATTGAAGTCTTTTGGACACAAATGATGTAAGAAATGAGACCTCACCATCTGACAGGGGAGGTTTGTGGAATTTCAGAAACCACAGAGGAGGGGAGTGAAACTGTCAGAAACCTCAGGGCTGAAATTATCCCTATTTTAATAGTACTTCTTTGTTGTATTTTAATAGTACTAATTAAAATGACAAAAAAATTCCACACAAAAAATTTTGCTCAAAATTTTGAATCACCACATTAATATGATTCACCTGTACACACACTATTTTATCCCTTTCACTCAGTTCAATAGTAAACAAATATAATTAAGGAGTGAATGAGGCTAAGAATTGGAGTTTTCAAACAAGTAATATCCTTCTTGAAATCAGATGATGAGTTAGGTCAGAATCCATGTATTTGTGTTATAGCCGTTAGAGTAAAAGTAGAAGATAAAGTTAATTAGTATGTAGTAATAGATTAGTAGAGTTTTGAAAAACAAATAGAATGGTTAATGGCCCAAACCAGAGTTAACGTCACTTCATTTAACATGAGCTATTTGAATTTGGCCATGTAGCTGTAACTTGATGTTATCCAATAATTTAAAATCAGGTCCAATACACTAGGAGAAAAAGATCATGGTAACTAATCTGTTGTTATATATATATATATATAATATCATAATTTCATTAAAATATGCACTAATTACAGAAATTATATCATCAAACATACACAGATGTCGAAGAACAGATCTGAAGAAAGAATACTACAGATCTAAAAAACAATAAAAATTATATCATAAAACTCCAAATTTAAAAAATGGGATAAAAAATAATTGTAGCTCTATGGACATCTATGCATGCTTCCAATCGCCAGATCTGCTAATTAGTTATTTCAAGTCCAGATATAATGATGAGATTTGTCGAATAGATTCAAGAAATTCCAGATCTAATAATCAAAATCTAAAAAAACTCAGATCTAATAAAAGAAAAAAGAAAAAATTATCAAAAACTCTCACTAGGAATCCCTAGGAGAGAATAAAACTCTCACTAAAAAATTTAGAAGAGAAGGAAACTTTGACTAGACAATTCTAAGGAGAGAAAAAACTCTTACTAAAAAATTTTATGAGGGATTTTATTCACACAATTATAACTAATCTGTTGTTAAGAACATTTATAGCTGAGACATCGGTTTCTAATGATCAAAATTATAATTATTATAAAAATAGAAAAAATTTTTAAAAATTCATAAATTTTGAGTTATAGCACAATTGAAGATAGTCCAACAAGAGGTCTAATTACAAAAAAAAGGGGTAAATTTAGGAAAATGGCCAAGAAAGAGTTAAACAGAAGAGATGAAAAGATGTCAGCACAAAATTTACAAATAATTATAGAATAATCAACACAATTCCTTCTTCCTTTTTTTTTTCCCTATTTCTCCTCGTTCTTGTACCATTCTTTAGCAATTCTTTTTCTTATTCTTCATCTTCTCCAGTCTATTTATTTCCCTTTAGTCTAGTAATAATTCTTGGCCGAGACCACAACAAAGTTCGGTAGGCCAATTTACAATATGTGCTAAAGTTGTGACGTTACAAGAACCTCTCTTTATTTTCTTAGATTGCATTAAGTTATATTTTTCAACTTTATTAATTAGGAGAAAATGTTTTTCAACTTATGTTACTAAGATTGAACTGCATATGGTACCATATCATACCATTACAAAAGGTCACATTGAATGCACATTAGAAAGACAAATATCATTTTCTGTCAAAATCAAAATTTAATTTTTCCCCATGGAAGTTTTCTTTTCTTTTCTTTTCTTTTTTTCTGTTTAAGAAAATCAACAGTAATTCTCCACTTATCTACTTGATGATTCGAACCTGTGACCAGTCAGTTACCCAAGAAATTTAACCAAGAGAAGCTTCTGAAATAATCCTTTTCCAAGCAATGTACCCAAGAGAAGCCTAGTACTAGAATACCCACACACACACAAAAAAATGCGATCATAAAATTTCTATCTCTTGAAAATGTATTTGCTCATGAAAATTGCAAAGTACACCTACACATTTGACTAATTACAGGCATATACATTTTGAAAAGACCAATTTCCATGTAAATCATTTCAACCTCCAACTACCAGTGCAGACCAAAACTTGCAGCTTGCATAAGCGGGTGAGCAAAATATGCACCTAAACTCAACCCCGTTATGGTTAAATATGGCAGTCTGAGAAATTCCTTGTAATAATCTCTGGGCAACTTCTGTCGGCCGTCAAGAACAGCAGCAAATGGAATGACACTTGTTCTATTCTTTACCACTTCGAATGCTTCACCATATCGTATCGCCAACCTCCGATCGCCATTCCAGACGCCAAATAAATGGTGTCCGATTAAGCCAACAGAAGCTGCCACTGCTACAGAATTCCCTATCCAGATGGTGTGAGCCAGACACCACATGACCTGTCCAACCATCTGAACAAAGGAAAATAATGCTTGAGGCAAAAACCAAGAGATTGGGAAAGCAAAAAGGACAAGAAAATCGAGTTAGATTCCAAACTGCTGATGAAGTTGGAGGAAGACATCTCAAAGAACATCTATGTGAGAATGAACATGGGCACAAAATCAGAATAAAGGTCTGAACATCCATGCGAGAATGAACACTTGCAATGGCAATGATAGCACAACCCATGAACATTGAAACAAATGCCAAAAACAGAAAAGTGAATCTCATTGTCTGTAAATTTTACTGTCAAAAGTGGTTGTAAATAGAAAACCATAATTTTTTGCTGCCTAGATGATAAAAATTAAAAACGAATAGAAAAATAAAAAGTGATACAGATATTCTTTCTATTGTTATTTTTAAAATTGCTCCCGTCTCCAATTCACATTTTCATCTGGCATCAACAGCTGCCCATGTTCTACAGTAAATTACTAACGCTGTCATACATTACTTGACTATATCCTGTAAATGGTAAATCAGAAGCTCCAGAAGCCCAACGTGGAAGCTTGACTTAGAAAAACACATCTTTCCACTCCACGAGAAATGGCATTGGTAAATCAGTATTACTCTCATGTTTGTGTAAATCAGTATTACTCTCATTTCTCTCAAGATCTATTACACAAAAAAGCAAAGAAAAAATCAAGTAATTCCATAAAAGCTAAACATGAGAGTAACTTCATAGCTGCATGCTTTTCCCCACTTCACACATTAACCAAGATATGTTAACTGCAAAACTAATGGAACACTGACTTCTGCCACTTATTCAGATTAACAGAAAAAGGCAGAGGAAACCAAACGTGAAAGTGAACAACACTACTCAAGATACTAATTACCATACCTGAGGGTGCCTTGTAATTCTCATTATCCCTGTTTCCCAAATATGCATTTTAGGCTTGTCCACTGCTGCTACCTCTAATAAATTGAAGGTTGATGGATAAAGGAAGAAGAAGGAAACAAAGTTAGAAAGCCACAATAGGTGATGTAGCCAAGGCACACTCTGTAGTTGCCATAACTGGACTCCATCATATCTGTGGTTGATAAAATACACCTGTAGAAAATTCAGTAGATCTTTTAGTTAATCAAATCAGTAACCGATAAACACGCATTTCAAGGAAAGGGGTTCCAAAAAAAATTAGAGCACTAAAGTAGTAAAACTTGGACAATGCAGATCAGTTGGAAACTCACAACAGTACTAACAGCCAATGGAAGAGAAATTCCAGCAAACAAGACACGATAAGCACGCTCTCCAATGATTTTCTCACCTGTGTCTCTGAGACTCGCCAAACCACTATGGACTACCGCAAAAATGAGCGTCAAGGTCAGCATTACAACCTGCAAGAAAAAATAGGTTGCTTAAAATTCCCAGTTAAAATCAGTAACAAAGATGATTGCCATGAAATAATTGAGTTCTGGACAAAGATAAAACTTGCGGGTTCCCAGTGAAACTTTAGAACTACAAGGGCTGAAGAGAAAGAAAAGGCAAAGTTCAAGGAATAAATAAACAAATATTCCAATTCTTACATTTTGAGCTTTTTTATACATTATGGTCCCCAAGAAATAGCCTAGTCTCAGTTTAGTCCTCCACCTTTCATTTCTAACTAAATTGCTCCCCTAACTCTTCTAGCTTCAAAAATTAGTCCCTTATGTTCCAATTGTAACACATTCAGTACCCAATGTTCACAAATTTTCCATTCATAACTTAAGCACAATACATTGAAAATGTAGATATTAAAATGGGAAGAGTAATGATTTACAGGTCTTGAGTTCAAATTCCCCTTCCTTATTCCCGCTTCTTAAATCCCACCCGTCACCAGCTAGAAAATTTTTTTTTTAATTGTTTCAAAAAATAAATGGTAAGGGATTGAATAATAAAGTATTGAAAACTTAAGAGACTAAATGCTACTACTCACAAAACATTAAGGTCCAAGATTCTAATTAACCTTTTCCAATTTTAGTACCACGTCTTTCATGTTCTCATCAAAGTAACAGCTTTACTAAGACATTTCAAGATTAGGGACAAAACAAAGTGGAATTACAAACTCAAGGGACCAATAATGCAAATTTCCACTTAATTCAGTACGCACCAACAACTCTATCTACAGCAAATAACAAAATGGTCCTTCTTCAACAATTAAACTACTAAAACTACCAAACTCATATAAACAAAAAAATTGAGCAAAAACCCATAAATTTATAAAAATTATTCTGTTGAAAATATATTCAAATTTGAGTAACTGACCTCGTGACTATCAGAAACGGAGGAAACAGCATTGATGAAATCTTTACCAAAGCCAGTGGAATTATCAATCCAGGCCACGTTAAGAACAAAAAGCACAATTCCCAAAATGGCAGTAAAATAAATCCAGGAGGAAATTTTCTGTTTGGACAGGTCGAATTCCGCAGAATCCTCGCCAACGAGGAATTCAGTTTCCTCGGTTTGATTCCCAAGTGCTAAGGGGATTAACGGTCTCTTTCTGGGGTTTGTTGAGGGGAAGAACAGTGAGTGAGTTTGTGGGGTGTTTGGAAATGCGATTTTGGAGGGCTTGTTTGAAAAGACGGGTTTGAGGGAATGATAAGGGGTTTTAGTTTTGGGGGCTTGTTTGCGGTGAAGGAGGGAATTGGGTTTGGGAAATCGAGGGAATTGGAAAAGTGGGTTTGATAAGAGAATTGAAGTTGCCATGTATTATTATGAGTGGTTGGTTGTGTGTGTGTGTGTGTGTGTGTGTGTGTGAATTTGGGGTTTTAAGAGAGTTGGAGGAATGCGTTGTTGTTGTTGGTGTGTGTGTGTGTGTGTTAATTTAACAGAGGTGGAGGAATGTGTGTGTCAGTGTCTCTGTGTGTGTGTGTGAAAATGGGGTTTAAGAAAGGTGATGGAAGTATATGGGAAGAAGAGAAGGGAATCTGGAGGGAGAGGTGCTTTTGGGAGGCGGATTTGGGTTGGGAATGATAAATGTTACATATTTGGTTTGAAGACTTATTTGAGTATTTCTAATTTTCTATTCCATCTTTGGTATTTTCGTTTGAATTAACTATTTTTGAGTATATTTTTAAAATATTTTATTATAATAGTATATATAAAAAAAAATTTTGAAATTTTTTTTTGAGTTAATTTTTTTTGTATATTACTGTAATATTACATTATTTTTTTTTGAAAAACTTATTTTTAAAAAACATGTCAATCCAAACGGAATTATCTTTTGATATTTACCATAATTTTCCAATATTTTGGTTCATTAAGTTCTCATGTCTGTCAATTTAATCCCTTTGTATTTTCTGTAATCTAAACTAGTTTTGATTTTGAATAATATGAATTTTTTTGTGCAATGATTTGAGATGATACATAAAACAACATGGAATTACATGAAAATTAAAATAAGATTTGGACATACACTCAATAAAATTTCTTCAATACCAAACCTTTTTGTTCATTCCAAAAGCCAATTGAGAAGGATTGCAAATAGGTTTTGTGCCTGCAACTACTTATAGTGAAGTAATCAGTAGGTTGAGGTGCTATAATTTTTTTCTTGACTACAATAATTGGTAACTAATCAAATTTCAAATTTATCAATAATTCATTTTCTTGCACCTTATGATAACACTATCCTTGGGGGAACCTTTTCTAATTCTCAAGACCAAATAAAAGTAGAAGAAAAGTCCATTACTGAGACCTGAGATTCATAAAATTAGACCAAAAACATGAGAATGAATCCCTGAGATACAATTTAGCTGTTACAATTTTGCTTTTTTCTACCTCCTTTCTCTCCATTTTTGTCCTCCTCCTTATCGTTTCCCTTGCCCTCTTTGCTTTGAAAGGCCTTATTGTTGTCATTGTTTTGGGAAGCAGAAACAACACCAGAAGGCTAATTCTTGACCTTTTCTTCAGGGACTTTCCCAATTACCCCCATCATTTTCCTCCTCAGGCTCTCAGCATCAGAAACTATCCCAGAAGCAGTTTCCCTCGGCACAAATTAAATGATTTAGAAAAGCCTCCAGCTTAGGCCTCTTTGACTGCAAGCTCTTCAGAAGTGATCCAATTTCTTGCAAGTTTCCAGTCTGTGTAACATCACTGGTGGGGGAAAACATCAAGAACAATAATACTATGTATCGACGAAACTTCGAGTAAACTATTAAAGCTGACACTTGAAAAGCTAAACATAAAAATTGTTTAGTCAGGTATTGAATGTAGCAAACTTGGGAAGTTGCACAATCTGCAATCGTGAAAGCAGCAGAAGTTCCTTTGGTTCACTGCTACTTGGTTCAATTGCCAACCAATATGAAAATTAAGCAGCCCTTTACCTGGAATAGTGCCACAAATTCAGCTTTCTAGATAAAGCCCATATGCAAAAACCATGGATATCAATTGTCAGTTGTCACCCTAATGTTTAAGTCTAAGAAAACTGTTACCAGACTATCGCAAGCATTCGATTTCAAGTATTTAAAAGCTGTTGTTATGAACTTACCTAGTATCAAATAGGGAAGCATGCTGCTTGCTTCACCGAATTGGTTTACACTACCACAAGGAAGAAATTTCTTTACATTCAGTTAAAGAGCTTGTACTTTCTTCCAATTCCTCCTGGAAACGAGTTAAGAAGCTTATACTTTCTTCCAATTCCTCCTAGAAACGAACAGCATAAAAGAGAGTTGTTAAAGCTATTACATGGAAGTGCTTGTATGATTATGAAACGCAAAATCCACAAAGCAGCCGAGCAGACCTAAGGAATCCATTTGTGATTACCTTAAATTGAGAAAGATTAGGAGAACAGCTTGATAGCTCTTCATCTTGTCTTTTCTCTGTTGATATTTACACATCAGAGATTTTTTCAGAAAGGCATGAGTACATCTGTGGGTTGCTTTCAGTTCCACTGTCTGAGCTCATTTTCTGATCTGGTGCTGCAGAAATGTCAATTGACATGAGAGACTCAGCATTATGAACAGGTTCTTCACACAAATTCGGAACATTTGCTTCAACCATAGGCCTTTGCTGATGGTAACTTCCTTGCTTTGGGAACAAATTTCTCATGATGTCGTCAATTCTTGGTGTCAAAGCTGTGTCAATGATGATTGCAGGACACGCGAATTTTGGACTATTTTCTCTCAAATGCACAATCACAAGAGGATTTCCAATCCTTCTGAATGCTTCTACAGTTGCATTTAAACTAAACCAATCCTGAGTCAAATGAGGCATTCTTCTTGGCCTAAGTGCCTGAATGAATGGCATTGGCAGCTGCGAACTAATATGAGACTGATCAAGCAGATGAGAAAGAACATTAGAATACTTGCCTGAGTTCAAGTGGAGCAAGCACAAGATAACCACAAGCCTTAATGCTAGTAGTGGATGATACTGATTTACACCAAATTTTGATTTTGCAATCCATGATGCTGTCTCCTGCTTTTTAAAAAGAAACTGTTCAACCATCATAACAACAGAATCAAATATGATTTCAGGAGACAACAGCGTGTCAGCTACTGAACCGGCATCTGGATACATGTCTGCTTTAAGATAAATAAGCCATTCCACAAAAGAATACTTTGTTGTGAAAAAGTAATCCTTGGAATGAAATACAAGTAGCAGCAGGCGTTCAACAAGATATATTAAACAATCAGGTGATATATAGTCATATGACCTCCAATTTGCAAGATAAGTATCTCTCAAAGCTTCGTGGAAGCTATCAATCAGTGAAAACTTCTTCCAATCTTCACCTGAAGTATTTGACGAAGGATCACCCGAGGATCTTGATTCTGTTATCCCAGAATGCCTTAATGAAGATACTTGCAAAGAATCAATGAATGCTCTCCAGGAAAAATTCTTTTCAAATCTTTTTGCTATCTTCATGTACAGATCATCTGTTGGTTTTCCAGATCCAAGCCAAATCATTACCACCCTCCCAATTTGACCGTAGGTAAGGTCACCCTTGTTGCTGATATTGTCAACAATAACCTCTTCAAGTAGACTCCGTGAGAGCTCAGTTTTCCTTAAAGAGATCATGTTTTCTACCATTGATTTGCAACAGTCTAGTGGAAATACATATTTAAAGTACGTAATTGGTGTCCACAGGAAATTTTCTAGCCTCTTTTTAACACTATCATTGAATTTGAATGATTCAGTCAAAAATTTCATCAATTGATAGATATCAATGAGGCATATGCTTTGGCAAAATAGGGAGAATGACTCCCTTATTGACAACTTATAAAGAGCTTCAACAGTGTCAAGTACCTTCAGGCTGACAGAAACTACTTCAGCCTGGCAATGACTCAGAGCAGCAGACGCAAATTTTCGACCATCAATGGATACCTGGTTCTCTCTTTGATGCTTCTGCTTGAATACAGAACCAGTTGTTTTCACCCATTCAGCATCTGAGTTCAACAGTATATATGCTACATTTGAATTGATGACCTGCCTCCTCACACCAAAATAGTTCAAACAGAACTCACCATATTCAAGCCATTCATTATCATCTGGTTTTTCCACTGTTTTGAGATATTGCATGATATTTAACATGTTCCTCCTCCACATATCCCAAAAATACATGAGTGAACCAACGGAGATGTGGTTAAGTGAAATCTTATCTTCTGAATGCTTTTTCATATCAACTTGCAATTCATCTTCCCATTCAAACTTCCGTGCTGTACAATCAAGATGAGCATCCAGGATCCTCCGGATAGATATCAATTCAACTGTCAGATTTTTACATAGCTCTGAATAAGTGAGAGACTGAAGCAACTCATGCAAGCTAATATGCTCATGTGACAAAACTTCAACCTCTCTGCGAATGCGTTCATAGAACTCATTCGATTCACAGAACTCATTCGATTCTTCCTGTGCGAATGACATAGCTTTCTTTAGCAGCATTTGTTTCTGTCGAAATGGCCTCAAGGGCCAACCTCTATTTCCAGTCACCCATAGAGAGCGATGAAGCACAAATGAAATGATGAGTAAGGATGCTTCCTTGAGATGGCCTGCCTTCCCAAGCAGGTCTGCCTCCCGTGGCAGATCCCCTCTCAACTTTGCTATTTCTATAGCTTCCTCGAAGTTTCCGAGTTCTTCTTCCAACAACAAAAGTTCATCAATACAGCCTATGCTTTTCAGGAAGTTACGTCTGGAATCCATAGAAAGGAAAGCTCTAACATATTCTATCATGGATTTAAAATCCTTGAGCTTATAATAACTCAATCCGCAACTCTCCAAAAACTCTTGTTCAATTTTTTCGATTTCCTTTTCGCCAGGAGCATTCTGTTTCCATTTCGTAATATATTGCCTTCCCAATTCAAAAAGATTCCCCTGAGTGCACACAGATAAACACTCCAACAAGTAATTGCCATCAGCATAAGCCTTTGCTGCAAGTTCATAACTTCTAGCCGAAGTGAAACAATCACCCGCATTTTTAGGATCTCCACATTTATCAAAGTAAATTCTTCCTGCAGCAAGATTCAAGAGGTTGAACTTCAAGACCATGCTTTTCCAGTTAAGTGTTTGCACAAGTAAAATACCATTTTCAAACCAAAGATAACTACAAAAAGTAACCAGTTCCTCAACAACAACCCCCCCCCCCCCAAAAAACCCCATCCCCTCTCCCTCCCACAATAAAACAAAAGTATGTCTATAATAATTGTATTAAAAAATATATAACTAAGGGGAGATTGAGATATCATGCCTGCTCTTTCGTAATCCCCTCTCAACTTTGCTATTTCTACAGCCTCCTTGAAGTTTCCAAGTTCTTCTTCCAACAGCAAAAGCTCATCAAGACAGCCTATGCTTTTCAGGAACTTCCGCCTTGAATCCATAGTAAGGAAAGCTCTAACGTATTTTATCATGGATTTATGATCCTTGAGCTTATAATAGCTCAAAGCGCAACTCTCCAGAAACTCTTGTCCGACTTTTTCGATTTCCTTACTTTGTTTTGCGGCACCATCATCACCAGGAGCAGCCTGTTTCCATTTCTTAATATATTGCCTTCCCAATTCAAAAAGATTACCCTGAGTACATGCGGACAAACACTCCAACAAGTAATTGCCATCAGCATAAGCCTTCGCTGCAAGTTTATAACTTTTAGCCGAAGTGAAACAATCACCTGCTTTTTTAGGATCTCTACATTTATCAAAGTAAATTCTTCCTGCAGCAAGATTCAAAAGGTTAAACTTCAAGACTATGCTTTTCCAGTTAATTGTTTGCACAAGTAAAATACCATTGTCAAACCAAAGGAGACCAGCTGTTATAGAACTATAACTACAAAAAACAACCAGCCCCTCAAGGGCCTCAACAACCACCCACCCCTCACCCCTTCCCCTCTCCCTGGCATCGACAATAAAACAAAAGTATGTCTATAAGAGTTATATTAAAAGATATATAACTAAGGAGACATTGATACATCATACCTGCTCTTTCGTAATCCCCCAAATCACAGAAGCATTCAGCAGCAGACTCAGCTCTGCCAATGGAGTCGAACAACTCAGCAGCCTGTCTGAGTATTGTACAAGCCTCTTGAGGATTTGACTCACGCAGCTGATCAGCAGTTGCCCTCAGGCTAGCAGCCTTGGCCCGTTTCTCCCAATTTGTATCTCCTGCCCTTTCAAAGCACATGGTTGCCATATGATACTTGTTCTCCTGGTAAAGCTGCATTAAAATATAAAGAAAAATTTTGTAGATTCCAGAATGAATGATAACATGCACAGCAAACGCGAAGCATAAAATGCATAGAAGCTGCGGTAGCAGAAACTTTAGAGAGCAGTCCAACCTTTATACCCCTTGATTTCCACTCTGCAGGACTGCTCGCCATTAGCATCGTTTGTGAAAATGATTCATCCACCTCCTTTACTTGCACAAGGCCCAACTTCTTCCAGAAGTCAAACATGGGTGCAGCAAACTCCTCACTATCTTCACAAATCCACAGTCTCTGCCTTGTCCGCGTAATTGCCACGTATAATTGTTTCAATTCAGAACAAAGGATACTGTGTCTTGCATGACTAAAACTAGGAAAGCACCTAGGGAAACAAGAATCACGTAGATCTTTTTTCTCCATGAAGTCATACACCACTCTCCATTGGTTCTTCAGAGGTGATGAACTGAAAAAATTGTACAGTAATACATCCTGCGAATTGTACAATAACCCAATCAAGACACAGAGTAAATTTTGAATGAAAATGAGGAAAATCTTTAGCAAAGAAATCACTAAATGGAAGAAATAAAAGCAGCTAGGCATGCATTCAGTTTTCCCAGGCCCTTGGTCATACTCATAAACGGTTGGTTAGAGAATCACTTGGTAGTAAATGACAATCAATCACCTGAAATTCTAGACCCTTGCATTCCAGTATTGTAAGAACAAGAGCATGATTTCCTGCATGTCTAGAAATTCCTTCGCGAGCAGAATCATCACGGACTAGTATAACCTGTTCGGCACCAAAGCCTACTACTTTCCTACCAGTCTTTGCAGTCTTTCCGAAAATAATCTCAATAGCACTCTCGTTAGGCTTAAGCAGAACAGGAGCTTCACCATATATAAAGCTAATTTCAGGTCTCAAAATATCAACAGATTGAGGGAAAAATTGGTAAAGAAGGTCTGTGACACTCTGTGCTAATTTAAGTACTCCAGCATGAGTACGGAAGTTCTGGTGCAAATTGAAAACTTCTGATATACGTCCTTTCTCTTTTCTTTCAACATATTTGTCACTCTTTGATTTCATTATGAACTCATTATAGAATAGAGATCGTATATCTTCAAACCTAAAATCAGTACCCCTGGCAATAGTTTGAGCTGTATCACCAGAAAAGACAAAACCTTCATCCACATTTTTGCAGATATACTTGAACAGAGCTATCTGACTCATAGCAAGATCTTGCACTTCGTCAATGTACACAAAATCCATTTTATCACCATCCAGACTCTTGCACTTCAGCCTAAGATGAAGGTCAATAACAAAATCAGACAAATCAAATTCCCCACGCAGTAATTTCTTCTTCTCGTAAGCTTGAAAAACAGTATAGATCAGCTCTCTCTCATCTGAGCTCAGGGTTGATGCCCTACTATTAGACATGGAAACATATTCTTGCCTGCTCAATTTACCATCAGGGGCTTCCCCAGCTAGCAAGCCTCCTTTAATGTGAGATATTATCTCCGTAAATGTTCTTGAAGAATCAAGATTCTTCGTCAGTTGTGAATTGAAGTGAGGCCAATAATGGAAACAAAACCTCTCATAATTTACCTCCTTCATTCGTAAGAGAGATTGCAGAACAGCAGATCTGAAATTTCCACTTATACCAACAGAATAGTCCATTATCTTCATCATCTCAGGAAATCGTCTGAAATATGAATCACCGATTGTCCCATCAAGCATCATCAAAAACTTATGAAATGTAATGACAAGAGGGTACTTTTCGGAAGGAATGCCAACAAAAGAATCTGGTATATCTTTAAACTGTTCTATATCTTCCACATCTTCGGCATCATTCAAACTGGTTTCAGATGGGAAATTTCCACTGCAAGCAACACTGCACTCAAGACAGTTAAGGTTAGAGATATAATTATTAAGAATACTTTAGTTTTCTCTGTACTATGTAAAAGGATATTATTTTAAAGAAGAAGTCTAGTATGTCAGAATGCTAACTGTATCATGTAATCACAAAACGAGCTGCAAGGAAAAATCCAGCATATCTCACATAACTTTCCACCAACTACACAACGATTAGAAGTGTGAATTGATTTGCTGCTAGAGTTCATTGCCGCATCGATTTCTGTGATGTTCCTTTTCTTTTTTGGTTATTCAACGAGAGGCTCCAAACCTAATAAGGGGAAGGGGGAAAGGGAGGGCTGGAGAACCTGGGACCTCACCATCGCCTAGCTAATGTCCCTACAAGCTAAACTGGGTCTTGGGGACATATCCCAAAATTAAGTTGCTCGTGTGATCTCTTTCCTTTCCTGAACTATATCTGAACTGACATGCCAAATGCCTTCTCAGAACATTATGTCCTGCACAGACTTCAACCTAACACATATTCTAATCTTTTAGAACTATGATAAAATGTAAATGGCCTCATATACAGCATGTAGTTGAACTCCATCGTATCTATACTATGTAGCATGACTGCTAAAACAGCACATCCAAGTAAGCTAAGTTAGACAATTAGAGCAGCAATGAGTATGAATCGAACAGTACATTAAAGCACATACAAACAAATTGTACTTAATCACTGGTTAGTGGTTACCTTATCAGACGGGAAACATGATGTTTGACTGCAGAACATAGTCTTGGGCTTACTGTCACAAAAAGCTGGCGCAAAAATGTCTCCCTCGTCACTCCTGTAGAGTGATCAAACTCAGTTCTCTTCAAGACGCTCGTAGACATACTATTCTCAGCTGTAGTAAATCCTTCCGAAGCAATATGGTAGATTTGTTCTTTCTCGAATAACTTCATGGACAGGACAGTAGTTTTCCCTGTGCCAGATCGCCCAAGGATGAAGCTGCTTTTGCAGAATTGAATAATTTCCCACTCTTCATCTGTAACTTCAAAAGGCAGATCCAATTCCTGACCATCACGACTGAAAAGTAAATGACTCGCAGCACCAGGTGATAGGGAGTAAAACTTCATGAGTTGCAAGCTTTCGCTAACTCTCGAATTTTCAGCATAACATCCTCCATCCAAGGTGCTATCAGTAGAATCTGCAACAGATTTGCCATTATTCATGTTCTTATGTCGGATTATCTTTGATGAGTTGGGCCAACACTTTGGAAGCTCTGCTCTCCTGAACAAGTAAATAAAAGGAAAAAGCACGAGCAAATATGTTAATGCTGTCCCATTAAAAGTGGAATTCAGTTAATACGAAGAAAAAAGTTACCCTTTAAGACATTTCTGTTCGCATTGATTGATGAAATCATCAGTATACATGTTGAAAATGTTATCAAGACGTTTCAGCAGCTTTGGGATCTCCTCCAGAGGTAATATATCCCACACCTTCAAGACTTGCATGTAATTTGATTTCTTAACAATGTCTATTGAGCACACCACATAGAGCCCCTCAACCTTAAAATGTTTCACAATCTGTGAAGATCTTTCACAAACTAAGTCCACATTTATTTTCTTAGGTCGCCAGCCACTGGCAAGACTAAGCAACAGGTTTAGGACTAACTTCTTCATGCGGGTGGAAGTCATCTTTCTAAATGATTTCTGAAAGTCATCACTAAATAAAACCTGTGACATAACATATAAAAGTAATAAAAAGATTCATGAATAAACCAGAAATTCAAATCCAAAATAACCAAAATGATTAAACTATACAAGAAAATTTGAAAAAAGAAAGGATGCCTTGCAGATTTTCGCTAACTAAAATAGACAACAGAAAATCCACAACGGATTAGGTATATATCCAAACAACTATATATGGACAGAATACATAATGTTGATATCATAACGATAATGCTACACTAAAAGGAACATAAACACGAAGAAATTTTGAATGGAGAAAAGAAAGTGCAGCATGTTAATACAAAATTTGATACCGTCCAAACTGTCATGCAAACTTTTATAGTCATAGTTTCCTAGATGGACATGTTATTCCAGTATGTGCAAGTATGCTGCCAGGAATGTTACCTAAATTGATACCATAAAGAAGCAAACTGAACATTACCTTCCACCGTTGCTGTTTGAAAAGTGTGCTATCCCCATTAAGCAAATCCTCCATCTGATCCAGCTCTTTCTTCACATCCAAAATCGTGTTTGATACATCAGCATCCTCATCAGCACTAAAGAAACAACCACGAGCCTTAGCATCACAAATTAATGCTTTCCAAACTGATAGAGTATTTGTCAGTGTATCCACATTTCCAAAGATCCAAAGACAGTGCCTAGCAAGGGACAAAAAATTCAATTTCTGCATATTTGAAATTAAAGATTAGAGAAAAGTTCCTTGCAGTAATATAGCTGATAAAGTACCGAGCTCTTGTCAAAGCAACATTGGTTCTCTGAGGACTAGATAGGAAACCAATAGACCCTTTATTATTGGCTCTTACAGTAGATAATAAAACAATATCTTGTTCCCCACCCTGATATCCATCTATAGATTTTACTGTCACAACAAAATTGTCAAGATTTTCAAACTTGTGACGAAGTTTTTCTTGAACCAGTGCAACTTGAGCAGCGTAGGGTGATATTACCCCAACACTTAGAGATGTATCAGATCCATTCCAAGCTGTGCCAAAAAAAGTAATTTGTTACGTAAAAGAAGATGTGGAAAAAATAAAACAATAGTCAAAGTAGCATAAAAACCACGTCATGGGTATTAAGTACACATATTACAAATTCAATCAGATTCCTAATAGATAATTAATTATACAAGCGAGAGAAGTTTTGCACCCTCAATACTCCAGCAATTCATGTAAGATGGCTCTACCAATCTTAATTTGATGTTTTGATCCATTAAGCTTCAATTTTCTAGCCCTTCATATGATTGCCAGAGACAAATGCATATTCATGAAACAGAAGCTACTCAGTCAAATATTATACTATCTTTAGCCAAAGGTGTCTTTTTCTCATTTTCATACTCCTTTTCTATTGTAGAATGAAGGCATATCTTTCCTTTCCATTGTTCTATCTGGACTGGACTAAGGCTAAACTGAAAATATGGACAAGGTAACTGCTTCCAATCCTGCACTTCAAGAGAGTCAAACTTAATACAACAGCATATATTTTATGATATTTCTCAACAGAAAACTTGCTTGTAGATGAAATTATTCAAACTAGGAAGCCTTGACATGCCTTTGTACAGCTTCTGAACTATCTTTACCACCACAGCCGCCTCAACAATATTTCTCAAGCTGTAATCATCACCATCGCTATCTTCTTTTCCACCTGGGACATTAATGAATGAATAGGGACCAAACATTTTCTCCCGAAGAAAATACCTTTCGTGCATTTTACTCCTAACTTCAGGTGCATCCATGATCTTGCCCGAATAGAAGATAGAATTTGGGAAGCAACTAATAGATGGATGCATTCTATATTGAATGTTAAGCAGGTGCTTTGGCTGACCCAATGAACTCAACCTTTCAAATAAGCTTCTTCCAAATGCGGCATTGGCAGATATCTATATTATACGTAAACAGATATATATTATGTCTGAGGTAATCAGATGTCATGCCTGTAAGATTATTCTATTGGTCTGTATAAATTCACTAGCAATTTGCATACCTTGCTATTAACGCTTGCTGGCAACTGGCACTCATCACCAACAAGAATAGCATGCTTCAAACCAGGTAGTTGAAGTGGTATAAGGGATTCACACTCTTTCAATTGGGCAGCCTCATCAATGACCAGCACTTTAAGTGGCTCCACATTTGTCCTGTGCAACTTGTAGGAAGTAGAAGCAGTGCAGAAAACCAAGGTAGCCATTTGGAAACAGAGTTCCCTTATTGATTCTTCATTCACAGCGGCTGGGATGCCCAGATTTTCAAGAGTTGAATGAACAGTTTTTAGGACAAAGAGACACTTGCTTCTAATATCTGGCAGAAACAAGGTACATGTGACTGCTTTGGAAAAATCTTCCACCATTATGCTAGAAGAATAGAGCTTCTCCAGTATATCAGAGGTCAAAACCTTTTCAGAAAGCTCCTTCTCCAAAGACTCAAGTAGATAAATCAGATGTACCATGTTTTCAAAATTTTGTTTTGCAACAAAACTTTTTGGTACATGAGTGCAGAATGTAATCAGACATCTTCTGAGGGATGGTAAAATAGCTTTTACTCGTGCTCTGATGAATTCTAGAAATGACTGTGGCTTATCTTTTGGAGCTTCATCTTTGTTTTCCTTGGTTTTGATCAGCTCATTTTCCAGAAAGATATGGTAGTGTGAGGCACCGTGCTCAAGCAAATCAATCATAGAACGCACACAATGTTTCAAACCATTTGATGGTGCAAAGCACTCAACAAGCCTCTTCACGCGGTAGTCAAGATATATATCTTCAATATCAGGGGCAACTTTTAGTCGATCCTTATTTCCAAATAATATAATATCTCCCAATGGAGTAAATGGATCACATTTTTCAGAGTCAGCAGCATATGCCTCTTTTACCAGTTTGACCACTCGAGATGCAACTTCTTTTACTGCCACATTGGTTGGGGCACAACAAAGAGTCCTGTAATTCATTCTTAATAGGATAAAGAGCATCTGACTTACTGTTTTGGTTTTCCCGGTCCCCGGCGGACCCCAAATGAGTTCAATGTGAGAATTCTGGTCACATGTCATCTTATGGAGAGACGCCCTTATGGCTTCGGTTTGGGATTCATTCATCTGAGAGTATAAATCTGATCCAAAACTTTCAGACAATTGTCCAGTGTGATTTACTGAACAAGAATCACACTGTTCTTCAACCTGAGACACCACAGCAAATATCAACATAAAGGGTAATCAGTAAAATTAAGATTCATCTAACCAAAAAACACACAATATTGAAAAGCAGAGAAATTGTTCAGCTGAATATTCGATCTCCATATTAATTAGCCTCACAATGACCTTAGTTCATAAGCTGTAGAAGTATGTGTATTCATGGTAACATTTTTCATATCCTGGTGGTCGACTTGACAAAACCAAAACATATCTATCTTATGGATTCTCTAGATTTAGCAAATGCATGTTTGTCCAAGTGAGATACCAATGAATACGAGATGAAGATGGAGGACTAGCAGATTGACCTGTTGTCAAGCTTGGTATCTGTAACCTAAGTACATGTAAACAATTGATTGAGATACAAAAGATTATTTATAGTAAACATAAAGAGGCACATCTTAATCCTTTTAAGAGAAGACAATAAGCAAAAAGATTATAGCCTTTCTTTTTGAATTTCAAAACAGCTAAATCTAATTGTAAAAATGATGAATTTTCCTAACTTGCTCCAAAAGCCAGCCTGGTGATGGTGAACATAAATTACTTGAAGAAGTGAAATTCATTTTTAAACTTAAAACAGAGATGAGGATTGAACCAAACTAAATCAGCTAAACATTCTCTTCTTCATCTTCTCTTTTTGACGAGTTCCAACAACAGCTGCATTTCCCAAGTATATGACAATTTAAGAAAGCACCTCGCCTACACCAATGATATTACACAGTGGAAATGCATTAGGTATAATCTCTCATGTTCAGCATGTAAAGATATATGTCCTCTGTTTGGGAAAAAATTCTCAAAATAATGTTCTCATTCATTTTTTACTTTATTTCTCTAGGCAATTGCTATAATGTCATGAGACTCATGATCCAGAGATGGTTTACTGGGGAGATATCGAAAAGCTATTATATAGATCATGTTTTAGGGTCTGCATTGCCTAAAATGTCAGGAAAAATCACATACTCCTCCAATGAACAGAATACCTTCTAACACATCATAAAACCTTCATTTAAACTATTTCTGTTTAGCATAAACGTCCACTAGATAGCACAAATGGGACAAGGTCTTCTCTTGAATGGAGGCAGATTTGCTCGTAGCATGTTGACAATTGGTCACTAGGCAAATTTGCCGACAGCATCGTTAGATTGAGCATTGTCTTCTGTAAGAATGAGAGGAAAGTTTTCCACATTCATGTTGACTGGCGATGAACAGAATTGCTTTTCTGTCTGTTGCCAATTTTCCAATTTTATGGATACCTAATCATACTTTTATGATTAACATCTGACAAATTTCGTGAAAAGCAATGGGAGCAATGGCAGGCTACCGTGGTACATCCACTATTACTAGCTAGGATATTTCATTTTGACTGTAATGGGAAATTATACCTACAGTTAAAAGTATATTCAAAAAGGGGAAGAATCTGGGCATCAAATTTGGAAACTCAAGTCTTTTTGAGATAATGCCATGGCGAAAGCATCAATTCAGCCTCATACTTACCATGGCATTAGAGCAAAGAACCTTCTCAATAAGCGTCAAATTTTTGAACCAATGCAATGCCTTCCATATTCTTTTATTTGTCATAGTATTTGTCAAGTAAACCACGTAAAGCCAGTCCTGCTTCCCACCCTTGAATGGCATGTCTTCCGGTGTCTTGACCTTAAACTTAGTTGATGAAGTGCTCTCATCAATGCCTTCACCTTTAATGTCAGTTACCGATGCCAATGTCCATGACCAGTGCAACCTTTGGAGGTCAGAACTGGTTTCAGGTTTTGAATCTGAAATAACAAGAATATCACCCGGCAATACTTTGTAAAGCTCTTTACCATGGTCAACAAATTTGTTTTTCCATTGATCAACTTTAACATCGTATAGAAATTTTCCACAAGATTTTGCTTCCTCGAGAATTTGTACTTCAGCAAATGGTGCCTGATGTATAAATTCCATAGCAGAAGCGAGCTGTGCTCGTGTTTCTTCCAATAAAGGGTAGATGTAAGAGCCAAGGTAATTCCCTACTGATTCAAATAATTCAGGTATCCACTCTACCTGTAAAGTATAGAGATGGCATTCATTACATTAAGCCTAGGAAAAATGCAGTTGATGTAACCAAAGGAAAAAGGAAAACACCAGCAAAAGTTGGAGACATACAGCAAAAAAGACACAAGCACATCAAACAATATGTGCTTCACTCAGAATCTAAATTGAGGGCAACAGTTCATATTCTTGCAATAGATACTGAATGTTGCTCAATTAACCGGTATCACAAATATCAAAAAAATGATGGCATAGTATAACACTAACAAAAATTGGACATGCACAGCCAAAAAAAATTGACAAAAAGACAAATTGAAGACAAGAGTTCCTCGTTTTTCAAACCTTAGAAAATGTATGACAAAAAGATGTGTCCAGAGATTAATTTCTGCAGGGCAATATTGCTGGAATAGAGAAGCTTAACTCTATGGCCTTAAGATTGATCACCTTGGCTATGCCACTCAAGAATCAACATTCCAACAACTCAAAGAAGAATCAACTAGAGAACTATAAAATTATTGCTGTTGAAATTTGAAACATCTCAATTTTTGAGGTTCAGACATCCCACAATGGGATTGAGATAGCTTAAGTCTATCTAGTCTCAATTTGGGATGTCTCATATCCATATTGCTAAAGAAGTAGAATTGAGACATCCCAATTCCGCATAACAAATGTAGGTTTAACAATGTGATCCAATTAAAGCAAATAATTTTATACTTCCAACAAACGAAAATTTCTGAATTTGTAGCCCATCCATTGCAATGATATAAAATTCCAGAATTTGTTACCATTTTGCCGTTCCTCCTTTTCACTCAAACAACATCCACTACCTCCTAAGAAGCATATAATCCAAAGTAACTAGAAAAAGTTTCTGGCACTATATTTTGTGCTTCTAACAAGAAAAAAAAAGTTTGAAACTCTTTATCAAATATCTTTTTCACTTTCCTGAATCACATTAGATAGTTCATTTTTTCGGTTATTTTTACTGTAGATTAAATTCTGAATTATATGATGTAAATGTTTTTCCATTGTCTTCTTAACCACTGATTTTCCATCATATAGACCTAATTTTATCTACACATACTGTATACAAGGCGACAGTATTTCAATTGATATTTAAAGAATTGAAGACTATGATATTTAGTGAAAACCCACAGCCAGAGGCCTAGAAATAAGATATGCTCTTTAGTCTGAAATATTATGCTATATTTCTCACTAGTATGTACCGGTGAATCTTATGATCCCATGTATCCTACTGAAAAACTTTAAAAAAAAAAAAGAACTAGTGAATTGTACAATAGATTAATGTTATAAAATACTGAAATGACTTTCGCCCTCAAAGCCAAGCTTAAATGGTCGAGACATTGATATATAACTATGTGGGGCATGATTTAATTTTGAAATTTTCTCTTTTCTGTCTTCCTCCTTGTAAGATATAGATTGAATATATGACCGATTTCATTCACACTAACAAATATTGGTCTAAAATAACTATACTTTGTACAGTGTCAAAAATAAAAACACTAGTTTCAACAAAACAGAACTTTAAGGCCACTAAGTGGATTCACTCCAAAACAATCATAAATAATAAAAAAAAAATGCATACATTTCATCATTTGTCAGATCTTTAGTCAAACTTTTGTTGCAAACAATTTGAGAGAAAGTTGCAAAATAACTCAACTTTACTTATGAGTATTTGACTAAAAGAAAGCAACAAAGAATCATCAGAAATGAAAAATGAAGTATGGAACATAGATTCTAACCTGATCTTTGTATCGATTCTCATTAAAAATGTCATGAAGGGACCATTTCAAAACCACGTCAGTGAAGTCATCTTTAGGCCATGCTCTCTTCTTGCCTGAACAACCCCCTTCCATCATCATTTCTTCTACAATCACTCTTACTTGCAACTTTTTTGTCTCACAAATGAACTTGAAAACTGAACAAAAATAAATTCCCAGATGGACATTAAAGCCTTCTGAGTACCATGCATGACCATCACTCTCTTATATGCAACCCCTTTTTTTTTTTTTTTGCCTTTTGCTTTTTTTAAAAACCGTGGTGCCTGAATTTGAAAATTAATTAAGGTGGTCTTTTCATTTTCTAGCCTAATTTTTTTTTTTTTTTTTTTTTTTTGAAAAAGAAACTTTCTATCCATTCATAAGCAGCATTTACAATGCAAGTTGAAAAGTTGTCCCCCCCGTTAAGATAACTTAGCTAGTAAGTAGGCTGGAGCAGGGGTGGATTTCCACTGGGGGCACGGCCCACTGTCCTCTTTAAATTTCTATAATATCCATAAAAATTTGATATAATTTTAAGTGTGCCTCCTAAAATTTTGTATATCTATTAATTTATATACTCTTAAACTTGCCTTTGATTTTATCTGTTGTTACAGTTACTATAAAAAAGATTTTTTCAGTTATGAATATAGTAAAAAATTGGTTACGAAATAGGATGGAAGATACTTGATGAATAATTGTTTAGTTACTTATATTGTAAAAAATATACTTCGTGAAGTTCAAAATGAAAAGGTCGTGATCCGTTATCAAAATATGAAAACTTGTCATGAACAATTGTAAATGATTTAGTTTACTTTTTGAAATAATTGAGTTTGTCTTTTTAAATTTTTCATAGAATATTAGGAACGAATTTGGCACATGTGCTGAATATTAGGGGTCATTGAATTGGTTAGAGTATAGCATTGAAAAAGATGCTTCTTTTTGCTGTCATTATCTATATGAACCTGTTATAGTTTTGTTGGAGAAGGGTTCAAATTGGAAACAAAAGAGAGATAGAATTTATGCTTTTGTTCGTGTTCCTAATAGTGCAACAGAATCTGATTTGGAATAAATACCAATTTTTTTCCATCAAAATTGGCACATTGAAGTAGCATTCGTTAAACGCGGTCATGATGAATCTGATACCTTTGAAATAAAGGAAATGTTCCTAAACTTTTGCATTTTATTGTAGATCACACTAATGCTATAAAAAAACCGTCCTTGAAAATGCTCCTAAAAATGTCAAGCCCATTGGTTCCGATATATAGAAGGATTTTGACAAGTGAGACTACAAGCATTATTGTTAATGACATTGAACATGAATTGTGTGTCATTTTGTGTGATGAAAGGAGCAATTGGCAGTTACCAAATGTTACGTGGATTCACATGGACATGTAACTGAGTGTTTTCTCGGTATTTTACATGTAAATCATATTCTTTCACTTAAATAAGCAATAGATACTTTATTTTCAAAGTATGGTGTGTGTATATCACAAATCAGTGGACAACATTAGGACTGCAAACGAATCGATCCGCTCGCGAGTAGATCGAGTCAAAACTCGACTCGAACTCTGTCAACATCGAACTCGAGTCAAGTTCGAACTGACCAAATCAAATTTGAGCTCAAACTCGAGTTAAAAAATACTCAGTTCATTAGCTCATGATCTGACTTAATTATATATATAGTAAAATTGCATATATATTTCTAATATTTTATTATGAAAAAATCGTTCAAAACGTCCCTCGCATTTTACAAGATGACTTTTTTCGTCCTTCACTTTTAAAAATATAATTTTACGTCCCTTACAAATTCACATTGATCAAATTTGGTCTTTATCTAGGTTTTCGACTAATTTTTATTGGAATCCACTACGTGCCTTGCATGTGATCATTTTTTAAAAACAAAATTGTCAAATCAAATTTTATATAATCTGATTCATAGTCCCTCATATTTCACAAAATGAATTTTTTGGTCCCTAACATTTTACAAAATGAATTATTTCGTCCCTTACATTTCACAAAATGAAATTATCCATCTCTCACATTTTTTAAAATGGATTTTTTCATCCTTCATTGATCATGTGTACGAATAGCTTTTTTTTCTTTAAATCCACATATATATATATATATTTATTTGATTCCACCTGAACAGTACGAATAGCATGTAATATATCTTTATTTGATTTCACTTAAATAGGTTAATCGTACTTGTACACATGCTATTCAACATATATATACAGGAGTTTAAAACTAACAATTTTGTTTTAAACCATGTATATATCTTAGATGATTTCACCATATGAACCTATTTAATATTTGTGACCTTTATCTTTTGGTAATAATTTATTTATTGAGTTATATAATAAGTCCATCTAATTAATAGGTTCTAACTTAAATTCTATAGTCGTGCTAACAAATTGCAGTTTAAATTTGAAATTTCTACACGCCACTTTTAAGACCAACAGTTGAATTACTTGCCTTGTGATTATCTTAAAATTTGAAAGTGTCAATTACTTACTTCTTTTTGTCATACTTTTCCTTTGTTTATTTTTTCTGTCCAAATTTAATTCGATATAAACACTCAATAATGTTTAGGATTAAATGTTTTCTTTGTTTTCAATTTTCAAGTAAAACAAAATGAATATGAGTGAAAAACTAACAATTTTTTCAAACCCATATATATATATATATCTATTTGATTTCACATGAACAGTACGAATAGTATGTAATATATCTCTATTTGATTTCGTTAGGTGAAATCAAATAGAGATATATTATATGCTATTCATATTGCTTAGGTGAAATCAAACAGATATATACATGTGTTTAAAAAAAATTATTCACACACATGATCAATTAGCAATGAAAAAATCCATTTTGGAAAGTGTGAAAGATGAAAAAATTCATTTTGTGAAATGTGAGCCACTATGAATCGAATTATGTAAATTTTGATTTGATAATTTTATCTTTAAAAAATGATCACGTGCAAGGTACGTGGTGGATTCTAGTAAAAAATTAGTCGGAAACCTAGGTAGGGATCAAATTTGATCAATGTAAATGTGTAAGGGACGTAAAATTACATTTTTAAAAGTGAGGGATGAAAAAATTATTTTGTAAAATGTGAGAGACGTTTTGAACAATTTTTTCTTTATTATTTATTAAGAAAAAAATATTATTTTATTCAATTTTAAAAAATAAAATAATTATTTTTTATTTTTTTAAACTCAATCTCGAGCTCAAGCTCAACTCAAATTACTCAACTCAAATTTGAGTTGAGCTTAAGCTTTACATTGACAGTTCGTCGGGTTCGAGTTTGACAAAACTAAGTCGAGACTCAGATCGATTAAACCAAAAATCGACTTATTTGCTGCTATAATCAAGATTATGATGGAGCAAATACGTACAAGGGGAATATAATGGTTTAAAAACTTTGATAGTGAAGGTAAATAATTCTGCATATTATATCATTGTTTTGCTCATCAACTTCAACTGTGTTATACAAGTTACAAAGAAATACGTTCAAGTATCTTCTACATATATAATACATTGTCTGTCTTGGTAATGTCCTTCAAAGGTTTGTCTAAAAGACAAGAAATTTCAGAGAAAAACGGCTTAGGAAAGTTGTTAATGATCTAATGATTGGAGAACTTGTAAGTAGCCAAGGCTTAAATCAAGAAACTAGCTTTCAATGAGCTTGTGACACGCGTTGACGTTTACATTTTGTCTCATTATTAAAGTTGGTTCTTTTTTACCAAAAAAAAATATAGTTAGTTCTAATACATGATTCTCTGATAAATCTCTTTTGATAATTGAAGATGATGGTTTTGTGGAGCAAAAAGGTCAAGCATATACACTTCTTAATCAAATCTTTTGAATATATGCATGTTCTTTATACTTGATGAAGAAAAGTACATGAATCTCAAATGCACTCTCAAATTTATCCTATTTAAATCTAGTCAATGAAAACTTTACCAAAAGTAATCAAAAGGTGCCAAGGTATCATAGCAAAAATAAAATAATATATTATCATTAATTTGCACTATCCTTTGTCTCGTTAATTTTGTTAATAATATTAGTAATTGAGACCATATAAATAAATTATAATGTGCTAAAAATGGTCAAAAAAACTAAGGAATCGTAGTTGGAACAAAATAGTATATTATCATTAAATTTTACCGCCTTTATCTCGTTAATTTTGCAAACATAATCATTGATTGGTGTTAAATTGATAGGATGTAATGTGTTCAAAATTAAGAGTTTAGCATGGAAAGGGTTCAAAATTGAAGTTTAGAATGCAAAGTAAAAAAATAATACTAGTTTAGGGATGCAAACTAAAGTTAATCCTTTTCTTTTCCAAACCCATGAGGGTTTTGGTCCGAATAAGTACTAATAAATTCAATGAGTTAGAGTCTGGATCAAGTGAATTCAGCTTAGATTCTATCCAATGATATGCCTAATCACAGTTATCTAATACTAAGAACCCTTCCTTGGAAATTCGGTCTATGAACAATGTCTATACTGACTAAACATATATACATCTGAAATGGTAGTTGGTTGACCACTAAAACTTTTCTCGGACGGGCACTCATATTTGGTAAAACATAGTTGACTAATTGAGCATAAGATATACCAGGTGAAGTAGAATAAAACTCAAGAATTCCCATTAGTCCTTTTCCTTTTTCCTTTTGTTATCTAATGTGGGATTGGTAAATGACTATTTTATATTTTTCTATTCATCTAGATTTGCATTACTAACATCCGAATCAAGGAGTAAATCAAATTCTTGGTAATGTATAATGAAATAATTAATTTTAATTTTCTTCCCCATTCCAAAATGTTGTGACCCTTGATCCTCTCAAAAGGTCATGATACTGTGCAAAACAAATGCAGAGAAAATGTACATCGTAATAAGTCAAAATAAGAACTAAATAAATTAACCACTATTACTATTATTAGAATACAGAAACATTATTATTATCATCATTATAATCATGATTATTTGGTCCAGCACATTAATTTGCATGAGCAAGAGTAAGGATCAAGATCACATAAACAATCAAAATATGGTGTTTCAAGCGGTGAACTTCTCAAGAATGCTTTGCGACAGTCATCTGAACCCCCACAAACATGGTCAAGTTTCATGTGTTTGCGACAATAGCGTGGCGGGGGGTCACCTATATTTGAACCATGTAACCAAAATTAAACAATTTCAGCAAATATATATTGGTAAAATATAAATTATTTGCTTTTTTGATAGGATTTGTACTGGCCAAAATAAAAACCTAATTTTTTTTTTCAAATCAATTTAGTCAAATTCGACTTCTGTGCTTTGTAGAAAGTATAGTGGAATATCAATCAAATTGAATTGATTGGTTTAAAGGCCTAAATTTCGAGGATCAGATGACAAAGTGAAAATTGAACTTAGAAATCTTGTATTACATCCTGATACACATACCTTGACTGGAAGGAGTTGATGGGGTGAAGAGACTTTGGAAAATCAAGAGAGAAAAGATGACAAGGTATGTAGAGTTCTTCATAGTCATTGCTTTTCTTGTAATATTACTTTGGCAAGAAATGTGGTGCTAATGTTGCAGCAACTAGATGTGAAGGTCCCAATTTATTGATTCTGTTACATGGTATTAATGAAGAGGTGCACCAAAGGACAATTACTTTAATTAATGCCCTCACATTATAATCTTGAAAAGAAGATTGACAAAATAAATTTTACAGATTTGTTGATATATGGCCCCAAAATAAAAAGAGGCAAGATACGTTTAGGAAAATTTATAGAGATTTCTCTAGCAGATTTTCTAATGGGTGTTTAATGGGCACTCATTAATATACCTAAATCACACTTAAGTTATTATGTAAATATACACACTCACATTTACTGCACTCCTAAATTGTGACAGTTTCCAGAATTAGTTAAATTTTTCTAAGAAAACTAATAATTGAGACCCCTCATAACACCTAAATCATACTTAACTTATTATGTAAGTACACACACTCACATTTACTGCATCCCTAAATTGTGACACTTTTCGTAATTAGTTACACTTTTCTGAAAAAAAAAAAAAATTGGCACTACTCATAAATTCTAGAGGTGTTTCGTATAGGCTCTAGAGGTGACTCCCGCCCTTAGGTCGACGTAGCACTGAGGCCCCATTGGAACTAATTAAATTTTTCTAAGAAAACTAATAATTGAGACCCCTCGTAACACCTAAATCATACTTCACTTATTATGTAAGTACACACACTCATATTTACTGCATCCCTAAATTGTGACACTTTTCGAAATTAGTTACACTTTTTTGAAAAAAAATAATAATTGGCACCACTCCTAAATTCTAGAGATGTCTCATGCAGACTCTAAAGGTGACTCCCGCCCTTAAGTCGACGTAGCATTGATGCCTCGCATAACACTTAGTTCCTCCACTCCCTTGTGTAATCCAGCCCAATCTCACCCCGTGAGGACATCACACGAGGCTCGGATACCACAAATGTAAGAGCCCCAGACCCTCAAGCCTATGACGCGACTAAAGTCTTAGCAGCCAAGTCCAAATATCTGGACTCCGTCCTCACTAGCCCAAAATGAACCAAATTGGACTTAAGTGCTCAAACTCTAGTAAAATATTGGTCTATAACACTTCATTCCGACGTGGGACAGGGTATCACCCTAGTATCCTTTTATTTATTTATATATTTTTTACTTATTTGTATAATTTATTGGTGCTTTCTGTTAAATATTATTTGTTCTTTTAAATTTGAAAGGTTACTTGGTTGTTCCCTAGCATACGTCTTCGTCTGGATACATATTAGGTAAAAAACTTAACAGTACAGAGTTATAGATAATTGCGCGTAAGAAATATACCAAGTGAGATAGAATAGAACCCAAAATTCTATTATGATCTCTATTTTCCTCTTTTATGTTTGTTTTCTAATGTTAGATTGGCGAAATGTTTTTTTTTTCACATGTTATTCACCTAATTCAATAATATTAGACGCTTAAAAAGATTACCACATTGATGTTGTCATGCTTGTCAAATAAAAAAAATACTGATTTTAATTGAAAAATCTGTCTTACAGCATAACTCTGAGGGGAAAATAGTATGACAGAGATTGGTTCAATTTGGGTTCCCTTTTAGGTGCAAAATGGACTGTCTTATGGATTTAAGATATTTCATATGGTGAATATCTAAGAACCTAAAAAACTCTCTATCCGAGATTCTATCACGATTGGCTGTATAACATATAAACAAAATTTGGATTTTAAATTTAAATTCAGATAAATTATCATGCATCCAATGGTATAAATTGAACATGTGATGGTGTATATATAGTAATAACATTGAGATGTACAGATTGCACATTAACAAGGAAAGACTTGAAGGTCAACGTTTTCAGTTTAAGTTTAGATAGTAGAAAACCCTATATCTAACAAGAAGTGAGGAAAGAACTTCAAAGTCAAAAAGGGGAGTACTTAAAAAGTCCTTTAAAGGAGATAGTCATCCCTAAGAAACTGCAAAGAAGACGATTCCCTACAGTACCAGGTGCAACAAATTAATTCATGTTTCTTCTAATTCAGTTGAGCTTCTGAGACGACTCAAACATTTCGTTCCTTCTTTTTAATTTTTCTTTTTCAATCAGGAACCAAAATTGGAAGTTGCATTCTTTTGAACTAGTGGAGTAGTGGGTGGGATAGTGTGTGCATATTTTTTTTTAAAAAAAGCAAATAATAAAAAAGATATAGAATAAAAAATTAGCTCGAGAGATTTTTGTTGGTGATACAATGTTAATTAGTGGATTAGTTAATCAGTTTATCGAGAAGCATAGTGATAGTAATGTAATGGTACTTATATAGTGACTGATAGTAATGTAATGGTAGTTATATAGGAGTAGGAGGTTTTCCAAATAAGATGTAAATATTTGAAGGATATTTTTGAAAGGGTAAATGGTGTTAACACCAAACCCCTACTCACGTTTTATTATATAGTAAGATGTTTGAAATCGCATGTAAAATCACTAATATTTCTAACAATTAGCAGATCAAACTGGTGTTGGTGATCTTAGTACTTTTCTTTCCAATACCAATTAGGACCCTTGACCCTATGAAAACGATGTCCATCAAGAGGGATAATGTTCAAAATGAATGCAAAGAGAATGTAAAAACTTATTCAAATAGAGTAACATATTATAATTATGACAATTTCATCTAACACTGTATTTTGCATGTGCAAGAGTAAGGATCAGGATCACAATGACAATCAAAATAGGGTGTTCCAAGCGGGTCATGTCTTATGAACGCATCGCGGCAATCATCTGCACCTCCACAAACATGGTCAAGCTTCAGGTGATCCCAACAATAGTGTGGTGGGGGGTCACCTAAAAGATTGGAACCACTGAATTATACCAAGTATAGGAAAAATATAATGGTAAGAAATGAAGATTTTTTTTTAAAAAATATGAAAATTAAAAGGGATAGACCCATAATAAAATCTTAACATTTTCCTCACCTTACAAATTTCAGTGACTTACTAGTATAAAATTCTAACAGCAAAAACATTAGACCAACTTTTATCATCACAGAATAGAAGAATCCAAATATAAATTATTTGGTTTTCCGGAAGGATTTTACTGGTCCAAAAGGAACCCTTACTTGTTTGATTCAATTTAGTCAAATTCACCTTCTATTCTTGGTATAATATGTAGTGAAATAACTATGAATAAATAAACTTCATGTATCAAACCAACTATATATTCCCATTTTGGATGTGTAATTGATGAAGACAAGATAAGGTTTTATTTCTTCTTTGGAAAAAAAAATGCCTCTAAAACTTCACACAAAGGTATGTTGTTCTAATCAGCATAAGATCCCATTAAGAGTTGATTATAACAAAACATATCTACTCCGTTTGGATTGGCCATTTTTTCGAAAACAAGTTTTTCAAATATAATACTACAGTAATACACAATAACTCAAAAAACATCTCATCCATACAATATATCAAATATTTCAAAAAAAATTTAAAGTAAAAATTTTTCATATACACTGCTACAATAAAATTTTTCAAAAACACCCCCAAAAACAACTAATCAGTATTGACCTGCATTTTACATGTTTAAACTAAAGGCCGAAATTTTGAGGATTAGATAACAAAGTAAAAAATTTTACTTAGAGATTTTATATACGTACCTTCACTGGCAGGAGTTGCTGGGCTAAAGAAAATTAAGAGACAAAGCATCAGAAGGGTCATAGAGTTCTTCATTGTCATTCCGTTTCTTGTAATACTTTGGGGTGGATTATTGTGCTAATGTTGTAAAAACTATATAGACTCATTCATTCTGTTAAGGATTGATTGGTATTAATGAATAAAAGGCACAAAAAGGTAAGTAAATATATTTGACAACTATTCTAATGAATGCTCCCACAATATAATCTTGATGCATTTAATTAATGCCATTATATAATTTGAAAAGAAGATTGACTCCGTGATTCTATATTATTTGTTATATATATTGCCGAAAATAAAATAGAGAGAATGAAGATAAGTTTAGAAACATTTAAGTAATTGTTCCGGTTAATTCATACCATAATTTAATGTGAGTGTTTCTCTTATTTATTTGTTTTTCATTTGTAGATATGGTCCGTGCGTATAAAATGTGTAGCTAATAAATATATCTAATGGGTGTCCTTAGAACACTCATTAATATATCTAATATTCACCTAACATACCATATATATACATATACTAATAATTATTATTCTCTCTTGCATTTATATCCTTTTTCTATTTAATCTTGTCTACCATTCCTTGTATATATTTAATTTTTGTAATTAATCTCATATTTTCAAAAATGCAATACCTGAAATATATCTTAATATATGTATATATGTGTGTATATATATATATATACACATACACACACACATACATACATACATGTATATATATACACATATACATATACATACATACATACATACATACATACATACATACATACATACATACACACACCTCCGAAAAGTTAATGTTTACAAGAATATCTACTTTTCATCTGTTCTAACTTTTTCGGACTTCAAAGTATTTTAAATCCGAAAAGCTAATGTTTATTTTCTAGCTGTCGCTATCTTTATGTGTTCAGATTAGCCATTCCTTCATTAGGCTGTGTTCAGATTAGCCATTCCTTCTAGCCTAATGAGTGCTTATAGATCCCCATCTTCATAATTGGCATTGCTAACGTCAATTAGTGCTTTTGGGAGAATATCTTCTTTCCACTGCCTATATTCCCCATGGTAGAAGTCGAATAACTCTAGAAATCTTGTATTGAATTCAAATTCAACTTCTGCTGGTGTCAAAATATTTTCAAATATATTTTCTGAAAACTACCGGAAACCTTCATTCCCTTTTGCTATTTTGAAGTGTTTATAAGCTAATGTGTTCATCCATTTGTGACGGATTTGCTTGAGCATAGTTTTATAACTTTTATTGCATAATTCCATACCTGTATACGTTACTGTTTGCTGAAACTTCATCGTGCTACTTCCCAGTGACCCATATTCTATGAATGGTCGGTTTTAGTTCAGTTACAGTCCATTTTGGTGGAGCGGACTTTATTCTGCCTCGGCTCAATGGCTTCCAATCTTAACTGCTTTACCAGTGCTAATACCAAATGTATACCGAGTCCTTGGGTTTGTTCTAGATCATTGACAATAATTTGGTTCAATAATCCATGATCCAATAAAAATTGTGGTGTAGGTTCTAGATCCAATTCTGCTACTTTGAGTTTCGTTGGCTGATAAATGGGAAAATTCAAGCTTACTGTCTATGAACAAGGTAAGCTGGCAACTACATGTGTTAGTGTCTACTTTAGATTTGGTACATGTGGGTTGACAAACTTTTGTAGAGTCTCCATGGAAATTAAAAGTAATCCCAATACCTTTTGATGAAAGATCTTGGGTGGCTATTTTTCTAAGGTAAAGTTGGACAAGTTGATATTTTTTGAAAAAGGAGGCTTCAGCTTTTTCTAAAATTAAGCTTCTAATATGTGAAGGGTAATCTGCAAACATATGGGTAGGTCCTAGTTCATTTTTTTAAAAAATTCTGGTTAACTATTCATCGAAAGGTATCCGGATAATTCATCGAAACATATGGGTATGTGTATTTAGAGTATTTTTTAGGGTGTTTTTGAAGTGTGTTATTGTAGATTCCAAATATAAAAATTAATATCAATGAAGCACACAACAAAGAATCATATTCAATGTCCCTGGTGTTGATTGAAAATTTTTGTATATATAGATGGATAAATAATTTTGAACTGTCTTCCATAAGTTGATAGATATATTAGTTCAAGGTCTACACTCAATATACACACACATATGTATGTATATATATAATACAGATTTTATATATAACTTGTGATAATTGTACATATATCAAGGGCATGTAATAAGTTGAAATGTAGTTCAATTATCTTAGCTTATGTTGTCTTATATCCTACATACTCCTATATGTATAGCATATTTCTTTTTATGATATTAAAATTTTTGTCACTTTTTTAAATCGCCTTTTGTTGCACACAATTAAGGGTAAAATGGTTTAAATTTATTCAAAATTTATCTTTTATTTCTGAATTAAGAATTTTAAATTATTAGCAAGTACTCCTATTAACAAGTAACTACTAATATCATTTTTTTGTTTTAATAATTTTACGCTCATACATAACTATATTGGGAGGGAGAAAATATATGTATCATGCCACTCTTGATTTATCAAAATTAATTCACAAATGCAATGACTATAAATTAGAGTAAATTTATAACTTTAGCATATTAGTTTTTTTCAAGTTACCTATGTGGCGTTAAAATAGTTCGTATATATATGTGTGTGTGTGTATATATATATATCTATGTGTGTGTATATATATATATGTGTTCACAGTGCGGAACTCTACCCAAATGATGTCACCCGACCCAACTTGATGACGTCACCCACCCCAATGCAATAAAACGCTCAAGGCGGATATGTGGATACATATATACATACTGTCGCGCCCCCCTTTTTTGGAAAAATTAAATTTAAATTAAAAAATGATGGCAGTTTATTTAAGAAAAATGAGTTTTTGATTTTGATAAATAAAGAACAAGGGTCTAAAATGGGACTTTAAAGTGCGATGATTTTGGCCCAAAACAAAGGATTTTTAGAAAAAACTAGGAGTCGCCACTTGGTATTGAGTTTTGGTGCATCAAGTCACCTAAAATAAAATAGTAAAACCCTTTTTAGATGACTCCAGGTCTTTGAAAATAAGAGAAATGGGTTCGGGAGTCACGGTTGAAAAAAGAGAAGGCAAAGGCTTGATGAAATCAAATCTAAGGCATCCTTTCAACCCAACCAAGGCTAGTTGCGCAATTTAATCAAAAATTTTCCTAATATAATCTATAAACTTATCACATTAGGATGTTTCTATATGGATGCAAATCTAGACCTAGAGGTTTCGGGATGATCAATATGTCTCTTCGAATTTTAGTTGGTGCAAATTACATTAATTGCGACGATCAAGAGTGATTCTTTGAAGAGGTCACGAATGTGCAACAATGAGACTCAAAAAATAGAAAAATTATAATATACAAATATACGTGACCTAAAGGAGAGAAATGCAACATAACGAGTACGGGAACTAAGATTCGTAACTCAATTTTCCCTTTTATAAAGGGGATACGAGCGTGTTAAGGTTAAGAAATCATACTCGTTTATTTCCCATATTTGAAAGGGGCTCCCCTAATTCAATCAAGCAGATGAACCAATCTATATCTAATTTCCTAAATGGAATGCAAGTCTAAATGTCATGCGTCATTCACATAAGGATAAGCGAGATAATACATAGGGGAAATATCATACAAGATGAGAAAAGATCCTAAAAGTGAAAAGTATGCATGAAGTGCAATAAATGTCAAGCAAAGTATGAATTCTAGCGCAAAAATGATCTAAAGGGTCTAGCATTGAACTAGTCCATTTCCACAAGTCTTCACTAGCGTTGGACTAGTGAAAAATCGAGGAGAATTGCCACAACTAGCGTTGGACTAGTGTGGAGACGTCATGCATTTATTATAACTAAATAAATCATATAAAATATAATTAAAGCAAGTAAACACATAATGCACATAATGCACATAGGACACATAACATATAGGCATGATTTCTAGATGCAAAACCCTAATGAAAGCTAATAAACACGTAGGCACATAAGCATGCAATCACACAAACAAATAAACGCAAATAAAAGCCTAACTATTACATTTGGGGGCCTAACTACAATTTAAGGGGGGAAAATAAAATAAAATAATAACCTAACTATTACATTCATCTAACTAATTACATTTTTAGCAAGAATTAAAGTCTATCTATTACATAATCTAACTAAATACATGTCTTGAGCACCTATCTATTACAATTCGTCATTTAAATGCCTCTCAAATAATCATCAAAATTAAATTAAATATATGAAACTTAAAACAAATAAAATGAGTAACTAAAAGAAAAACCACTCAAAAGCATGCAATACACACATAAAAATACATAAGAGCACATAAGAGGATTTAAAATAACAAAATAAGATACCTCTCTTGAAATAGTAGCTAATTGGTGTTGGATTTGCCCTATTTAACTCCAAAATTAACAAAAATGATCAATGCACCAATTTAATTGACAAACAAATCATAAAGAAATGGAAATAAACATGAAATCTATCAATTAAAGCATTCAAATGAAGTATAATTAATAATTAAAGAAGAAAAACAGCTTCTATTTAAGAAATCAAATCTATTAGGGACTTAATTGCAAAAATTAAGAAAGTTTGAGGAGTCAAATTACTATTATTGCAAAGATCAAGGGTCATAATCAAAGAAAAGTAAAGTTCAGGGATCAAACTACAGTTAGAATAGGGTCCTAGTTGAAAGAAGATCAAAGCTTTTAGGGTCATAGTTAGATTACTCAAAAGTATAGGGGCTGCAATGCAATTTTCGGATCTAATTTCTTAAGAACATCAAACCATTGGGCCATTTCCACCATTTCCTTGGGCCAAAGGCCATTCGGGCCCAATCAAAAGTCCAAGAAAACAAGCAAGCCAGCCTATCTTTTTTCAACAAACAAACCCAACCACATAAATGGGCTTTAACCTACCAAGCCCAGGTCATTACCCAATCAAATAAACCAAACTTTCCTATCAAAAACCCAAACAAACAAACCACATCCCAAAACTTTACTAAAACCCAATAAGATAACAAATCAACTAAAA